CAACGGTCCCCTAGGTGCTGATCAACGCCCTGTCCTCCACCTCCGGACTCCCCCCTTCGAGCTGGTGGCTGCTCCAGGTGGGGGGCGGACGCAGGGGGCGAGCCGCGGAGGACGTCGACTTCCTGGTCACGTGCACCAACACACGCGGGTCCGATCTCGACAAGGAACCGAAACCCCAAAGTGAAGATGAGGGCCAGGGTTACAAAACGGCGGGGTACGCGCGTCATACGGGGTATCTGTACGGCACCGGTGATGCCGGCGGTGCCAGTGGTGGCGGCGGCGGCGGCGGCGCGGGCGGAGAGGCGCCTCTTCTTGTCCTGTTGTACCGGCAGTTGGTGGCGGCTGGACGGGTGGTGCCACTGGAGCAGGGTTTCTGTCGCCTGCAGGTTCGTTGCCGTACGTATTGTGTGGCGATGCCCCGGGCTCGGGCTCTCTCCCCACTCTGCGTGTGACGGTTGGCGGTTGGAGGTTGGGTGCATTGCGACGGAGGAGAAGAGCTGTGGATAGGTGTGTGGTGTTGTCGGTTGCACAGCTTCATGTACGACACCGTGTTTTGACATGTACGACATACGTGAGCATTCTTCCGTGCAGCTGCTGCGAGCGTGACACGCTGCACGACGCCGTGCCGTATTAGCTCTATCGTTTAACCCCAACACCCCACCCCACCCCAACCCAACCCACCCCACCCCACCCCAACCCAACCCACCCCAACCCAACCCAACCCAACCCTCCCGCAACAGGTCAATCAGGAGCCGGGGTACATAGACGCGATGAAGCGCTTGGTGGCCTCGGGCCGATCGGCGGGTGAGGGTGAGGGTGAGGGTGAGGGCGAGGGCGCCCGGTATGGGAGAGGGTGAAAGGCAAGAGGGCGCAAGACGGGGAACAGCGCCTTTAGGAGGTTACGAGGACACAGCCCAGCACGACCCAGCTCTGCCCCGCAGCAGACCGCCACGGCCAGCCACACCCCGTCGTCCGTCCGCCAATTCCCTTTCAGTGGACAGCCGTCGTCCTGTCACCCGGAGACGCGTCAGCACCCGTCGTGCTTTCTTCTCTCCCCCCTTTCTCTCCCCCCCTCTCCCTCAAACCCCCTCCCCTGGCCCCCCGGGAGCGCACTTTATCTGCAGGTCAGGAACAGATGGACAAGTACGACCACCTATGGTGCATCTGGGTCACCAGCCGGGGCCGACGGCGCAGACTTGACGTCATGCTGGTGCCATACGGCCAGCAATGGCCGTACGCTGTGGTGGGCTGGACGGGCAGCAAGCAGTATTTACGGTTCATGCGGCAACACGCGCTGAATTGCGGGTGTGTGACGGGGCGGGGGGCAGTGTGTGTGTGTGTGTGTGTGAGGCTGTGTGCCGGGAGGGCGGGAGAGGCGGGTAAAGGAACTTGGCTGGGGGGCGGGAAATAGTCCAGAGCTGGGAGGGCTGTGGATGTGGGGGCCTGGCACCAAACATACATGCGCACGTACACACGACGGCACAAGACACGCACCCACAGGCCCCCCCACATTTTCCTCGCCATTTTAAATTCCCCCCTGCCGACATTCACAACTTTACCGGCCCCCTTACCACCGTGGCAACTGCCACTGTCGCGACGGACGCGGCCACCACCACAACCGCGATTTCCCCTCCCCTCTCTTTCCCCCCCCCACACCACCACCACTGCAGCATGTTCACCAACTCCCACGCCACGCTGCGTCAGACCACCGCCGGCGTCCGCCTGGTGCCCCAGGAGGTCCTCCCAACCGATTCAAACGGCCAACAGTTCCAACCCCCACAGTGGGCCGAGCGAGGCGCAGCGGAGCAGCTACAGCTACAGCTTCTAGAAGGGCGCTCCAGGGGTCTCGCGACCTGCATGGTTGGAGCTACCGCCCGTAATGCGGACGCTGGCGGAGCTGACGACAAGAGGGCAGGCTCAGCCAGCAATGTCGCCGCTGGCCCCGCCGACGCCCCTGCCGCTGCGGCGGCGGCAGCAGCAACAACTACAGCTGCGGCGTCTGGACAGACCCGACCATTGACGTGGGACGGCTTGGCGGATAGCAGCAATGTCACGGCGGCAGCGGCGGCGTGTGAAACTCGATACCCCGGGCTGGGGTGCGGGGGGACGGGGCTGCGGCCCGTGGCTTCGGAGCGGGATATTTTGGAGCTGCTGAAGCTGCCGTACAGAGCGCCCCACGAACGCAACGCATAAAGACGCCCCTGCAGATATGTGCTGTTGTTGTTGGTGGTGGTGGTGGTGGTGGTGGTGGTCGTTCCCCGTGGTGAGAGTTAAAGTTAAGCTGAACTGTCTCGCTGATATAGCTAATATGCATGTCGTGCAGACACAGCTCTGCTATGCTTCGGACTCGGAATCGTTCGACGGCCAACAACCAGCAAGGACGAGCTGCGTTACATCTGTTGCGCCCAGTCAGCCGCGATGTACGACATTAAATTCGTACAGTTAGATCCGTGCTGATGTGTGGCACGGCATTTGTCCGTTCCAATCGTCAATCCTTCCCAGTGCGGGCTCCCGAGTTCCCTCGGGGATATATTCCTTTATTATCAATAAAGGATGACAAGTAAGTAAAATTGCGATCCACGACGATGTTGTTAAGCAGCCCCTCGCACAAATGTGTCCGGTCGTACTTCGCGAATAGAGAATCCGTACATCTCGTCCCAAAAGTCAGGAGCGAATTTTGCCGCGCAGATGCGCGCGTGCGATTCGCAAAATGCGCCTGTACAAATGTATATAAAATTTCTTGGCGGATGAGGACCAGGTGCGCCAGCGCGTTGCGCAGGTGAGCATGTTGGCCATAGCCGCACGCTGGACTATTGCGTCGATGCTTTGCAGTAAATAAAAGCACCGAAAGCCAACGTCGTAGCTTGCAACTCTGGGCTCGTGAAACTGCCGCGGAAGATGAAGCGCTGGCGGAAGATGAAGCGCTGGCGAAGAAGCAGTTGTGTGCAAGCCATAAGGCGCCTGCTTTCGGTAGCGCAGCGCATAATTCTCATTGTTCCGAATACTCAAGTTACACTCTTACGAAATAAATAAACAAGCACAGAATTATGTAAAGATAATCGCGAGAGACGTTCAGAACCTTGCAAGTGAAATGGATGCCGCTGAGAGCTTGGAACAGCTTTTCGCAGCGCATTCGGCCGTGCCTGCGTTAGCCGTCTTGCAGCAACTACGAATGGAATTGAGCCAGCAGCAAGCTCGAAGGCTGCTGAATAACCACCGGGAATATCTTCAGATGGGAACATGTAGTTTTGGTCGGCGCGGTCAAGCAGCGTACGCATTGCGCTCAGGTACCGAGGTGCAGCGTCTCTTTGACATCGCCAACATATCTGGTACGCTGTGGCCGACGTCCCCCCCCCCCGCCCCCTTCAGCCAGCCCGGCCTTCTACGCCATGACCCAACGACGCGCCGGCAGCGCCCACACGCCCACCGCCGTCACAGTCCAGGACGATGACGCCCCTGCCACGCTGGCCTAGCCCACACATCAGCTGAACTCCTAAATATTGACCGATAACGTCCCACAATTTCGGCGCTAGGCTTCTGGACATTGAGCGGTGCTTTTGAATTTAGGCACGGTCGCACTTAGGGTTTCATTCTCGGTGCATACATGTCCAACTTTAACTTGTGTGTGAACGGCTTGGGATGGTCTATTGCGTTAGCGTTAGGACTTAAAGGACACCACGCTGCGCTCCTTGCTATGTACGCTCCTCGCGTGCTCGGAAGGTGTTGGTAGGGGGCAAGTTGGTAGTGTGCGAGAGCACCCATCATGTTGCCTGTTCTGGCATGGCCATCCACCCGCGACAGGAAACTTGAACCTTGGCCTTCTTCTTCGTTCCTACATCATAGCAAAGGACAGACGCGACGTCTCCTGTGCACGCGCTGTTGCTTTGGTGCCTTCTTGTTCTTCTGGTTGTGCTACCTATTGTTGTTGCATACGCGCGCAACGACATGACTGCATGTACATTGCGCCGTGCGCTAAACGAACTGTAAACACCTTCCACTAAACTGCTTCCAAGCTAATCTCACATTCCATTCTGACACTGCACTGCTTCACTCTCCAGCCGGGCCACAATCTATTCCGCGCAAACGTAAATATACACCTTACATTCCAAAATCATACGGACCTTGGAAACGCGGCCAGCTGCTTCACAAGGACCTCCCTGTTTCAGACTTTTACAAATATGCCCGGAACGATTCGGTTTTCTCGAGGACAGAATAATGCAGCCGTCGCATGGCGCAGCATCTCCCCTCCTTCCTTCCCCGCCCTGCTCACCCCTGCTGTTATTACTCTCCTGCCTGTCCACTGTCCACTTGCTTCCCCCCGCCTGTCCCCCCTTCTCCTGAGCCGTCCCCGCCCCCCTGCCGTCCTACTTCCTGTCCCTCCCACACGCCCTGCCGCACCTCCAGACCAGCAACAGGGTTCGGTAATGATGTAGGGATTGCCCTACTGCTTAACCCTACATGGAAACCAAAAGCCCTTGTCAGCCCCTTCGATGCAGCACAGCTTATTACATGTAGAGACAGAAAGCTGTGTGTCAGACAGTGCAGCAAAACCTACCCAAACAATTCGCGACGTTTAATGCCACACCACGGCGCCCACCATACATACGGCATCATCGCCCATGCGCGCCTTCGCGCAGCAAAGTACCGGTCTACATGGAATGTATGAAAATGTATGTATGTATGTGTGTATGTACGCTGATGACCTCTGCGGCGTCATATCATCTCTTTTTTGACGTTTCGAAAACCAAATGTTTTGCCAGGATGCCCCAGCCTGATCCAAACCTTTTGCAGGCCGTCACCTCACATACTCCCACTCCCACACCCACACAAGGCCCCGCAAGCATAAACACATATACAACCATGTCTGTGTGGCAGAATGAAGATCCAAAGAACTCACTTTCTTTATGTACAGAAATGACAATGCGACGCCATCCCAATTCTCAAAATTGATCCTGGATACTCCTTCACCTACTCAACCACCCACCCACCCACCAACGCAAGCGATGAGACTGCGATATGGAAACTTGGGAACGGAACAAACGCGTATGAAAATTGCGCTAAAGGCCCCTATTTCAAATTCAAACTCAAAACTCCAAATTAAGTTCTACCTGCAAAAATTTAAATCGATACGAAATCCATATACCTACCCTGGATGTCGCGGCATGTGGATAGATAATGGCTCCTCATACACCCGAAGTAATCACGCTCCTAATCATCAGCAGAATCTTCATCATCCTCCCTCGCTCTCTCCTGCGCCATCACATCGGGACGAATAGACGCAATAGCAAACAACTTCCCAAGAAAAACCTTGGGCGCGGACGTTGGCAGATGTGGCCACGAGGGTCAGTTAAGTGGTGTAAGGTTACACAGCCACATAGCCCTATGGTAGTATATCGCAACACGTACTATCTATCGCTCACGCGACAGCCTCCAGGCCTACAGCCCCCGACTCCATCCTCTGGCTTTCGTCAGAAGGGATTTCGGACATGTATACATACATACATACACACACACGCGCGTGCGCGCGCGTCTACACCATTTATTGGTCGTAGTGGAAAGGAAAACTCTCTCTCTCTCTCTCTCTCTCTCTCTCACACACACACGCTCAAGCTGCGCTCTGACGCAGCCGGTAGTCCCTTCTCTCCCTTCCCAAAACGCACACAAAGACACACACATATATAAACGCACAGAGACCCACAACAAAAATCTGACCCGCATGTCCCACCAGACCGACTTGGCTGCTCCCCTGTCCTACCAGCAACCACCCATCACGTGGGCGGCTGCAGGAGTTGAACACGAGAACGCGCTCCACCTCCCCTCCCCTCCTCCTGCTCCTGGCCCTGCTCCTCACCCCCCTGCTCATTTCTTCACCCCCAACCCCGACCCCCCTGGTCTTCTTCCTCCTCTTCTTCTTCTTCTTCATATTCTTCTTCTTCTCCTCCTCCGTCTTCTCGCCCAATCGCGATAAATCACTGGCGACCGGATTCGGCGGACTTAAAACACTCTGGCCGCACTCTCACTTCCGTAGAACCTTCTTCTCCCCCCTCTCCCCGCTTTCCGCCCTCCCGCTCCGTGCCCTCGCCGTGCAATACACAACCAACTTACACACGCGGCACCAGGGACCCGTCCGGGGTTTGTGGGGGCACCGTGGGGGGGCGGAGGGGAAGAAGAACAAAAATATGTATTTGTGTATTTGTATGGTCAGCGTGCAGCTGCTCCCAACAAAACCTGCGTGCCATGTGGCAGTTGTTGTGTTAAGCCCGGCCGCTGCTTATCATGCCGTACAGGACGATTTTACTTTTATGGACCGTCCGTACGGGGCGCCCCCAGCTTTTTTACGGCCTCTCCCCACTTAAGCGGGTGGAACTTGTAATAACGGAGGAGTCATCGGATATGGGATAGAGGGTTGTGTGCGCGTATGTAATATATGGACGATGGTTTATGTGAAGTATGGGGTCATATAATAGCTATATAATCCACATTGTCACTAGCCGGCTGGCAGTCCCTACTACCTTCATCGATGTTTCCCCCCCCCCAGGGCACCCCATGATGCATCCGCTTCTCATCGCCTGACGACAGTGAGTGCCGCGACTTCTGGGGAGTCAGTGATTTTTCTTCGGGTTCAGCATCCACTCACCACCACCATCACCACCACCATCACCGCCACCAGCAGCAGAATTCAATGGAATCCGCCGCCGGAGGATCGACGGCGACACATCCACTCCAGTCCTGGTCGGTCGGCTTGCAGATGATGTGTGTCACTGATACCGACTCCCCAACACCGTCCATCGTCATGGGGACACATCCATTCTCTCCACAATCCAGGAAATTTTCGCCTACCCACTGCTGGAGTCGTACCCGGAAGAAGTCCCGGAACTTCCAGATACGCAATACCCGCCTGTTGCCATACAATTGCGGTAGCCAAATCGGCTGTTGAGCGGTATGCCGCCTATTTTGCAGGCGTCACGAATATCCATGCGCATGTATACATGTATATATGTACAATCCATGTGTGGCACCGTCATGAACCCCCCTGGGCTTCAGTACGCAGCGATACACAAAAAACAAACAGCCCTCCTCCGAAACCAAAATATGCACATGCGCACGCACTGCACCCATATACCGTTGGCGCTTGACACCGCGGTGAACTAAGACCCCTACTTGCCTTCCTTCCTACCTACTCGCTTGCTCGCGCTGCAAATCCCCCCCCCCCAAATACTCTCTCCCCTTCCGTATCTACAGTGCTTATAGGCCTCTTCCCGTAACCCCCTGATTTGGAACGAAGAGCCACTTCCCCCAACGAAAAGCCTACCCCGCTAATCTCCGCCATGAATGCACGGGCACGTGCGGGTGCCTGCGCGCACGGGCGCCGCGTGTGCCACCGCAGTTACATTTCCAGAGGGTCTGTGTACGCCTCATCCTGCCACAACTCCGGCTCATCCAGAGCATAGCACGCCGAGGCACCGCGCACCAGGCTCAGCGTGCAGGCAGAGCCACAGGGGAGCGTCATGATCGCGCCTCCGCCTCCGCCTCCGCCGCCGCCGCGGGTGGAAATGCCGTACCCGCCGCCGGCGCGGTTGCCGGCGCAGACGCCAGCACTGCTTTCCGTCAGACCCGTCACAGCGCTTTGGAGTCCCCCGTGCATCGATACGCTCTCGCTTTGCGGAGCCAGGCTGCCCACTCGCGCAAAGGAGGAACGCCGCGGTGGCGGCAGACTGCCGCCGCCGGCGCTCGGAGGCGGGTGAATCCCGGGCCGCCACCCCGCCGGCGCCCGTACAGATACACTCCTATCGTCGCAGTCGTCACTGACGCCGCCGTACTCGTGCGGTTCGTACACCTCGAATCTGGCGGGTGATAGGAACGGGCTCAAGGAAACGTCACCGCCGCCACCGCCGCCGCCGCCGACCGCAGCGCCTGGCGGTAAGGGGCCGCACCGCTGCAGCTGCATGGGCTGAGGCTGCATATACCACAGATTGGACGTGGTGCGATCGGCCATAGACGTACGACACGTCGGCGACGCGCGCACCGCGGTGTCGTGCCAACGGTTGCTGCTGCCCGCCAACGACCCGAATCCGGCAGCGCCCGCGGCGGCCGCACCACCGTGGCTGCCCTGCAGGGACAGCGCGCGGATGCTTCGCGCGGCGCGGCCCACATAGCTTCCCACTTCAACTACCGAGCGCCCGCCGCCACCGCCACCGCTGATGCCGCTACTGCCAATGCCACCGCCGCCACTGATGCCGCTACTGCCAATGGTGCTGCCGAAACCACCCGCTATCGCGCCGTCGTGAGTGGGCCGCCGCCAACGTCCCCGGCACTCAAACGTGCCGCACAGCTCCGACGCGACGTCAACCTCGGCGCTGTCATCCCCATACGCTGCCAGATTGCGCTGCTGATGAGGTGCGCCGCTACCAGTCCGGCGGGGTTGAAGCCCCGAGTAGCTGGCGGCTGGCGGCGGCGGCGGCGGCGGCGGCGTGTGGTGACCCTTCTGACTAATCGCGGCAGCAAATTGGGCTAAGGCTGAGCCGCCGCTCCGCACGTCTTTAAGCGGCGCCGTCGAAGCGGCAACCGCTGGATTGACTTCGCCGTCAAGCAAGGTCGCGGCGGCGGCGGCGGCGGCGGCGGCAGCAGCGACAACGGCACATTCCTCGCCCGCCGCCACCACCTTGACATCGGCGACCTCTGCCTCACCAACCTGGCTGGTCGCTGCCAGGCACCCGCCTCGCGCACCTACGTCCGGACGCCCCCATCTTAATCCAGCCTGCACACCGCCGTACGGCGCAGGTTGCGCGGCCGACTGCTGTACGGGTACCGCCGTACGAATGGGCAGCACCTGCTGATCGGCAGGTGCGTGGAGGCCCGGCGGGCTGCTTAACTGATCCGCACACGGAGGACCTTCACTACAGCCCTCACTGTAAGGTCGCCGGGACCCGTCACCAGTCGCCCCTGCCAGGTCGAACCCAGCCACGGTCGCGGGCGCCGCTGACGCAGGCACCAACACAACAGCTGCCGCCGGCACCGCCGCTGCCGCACCTGCCTTCCCTGCTTGTTCCCTGCCGCCGGCAGTGACTCCGGACTTACTCACAACGAGTCGCGCGGCCGCCGCCATTGCGGCGGCCGCGGCAGCCGCGGATGCGGCACCCTCGTCTGAAGTCTCCGTCCCAGTACCCGCCTGTCCTAGACTCGCAGGCCGATAGCCCTGCTGCGCGGCGGCCGTGACCTCCAACGGCCAGCTACTGCTGCTGCTACTGCCATGTCCGGTGATGGTGCTACTGGCCCTCCACACGACCGTACCCGTGGCGGGGTCGCCGCCGCCCCGCCGCCCCGCCGCTGCCTGACGACCCGACCGCGAGCGGACTGGAATCGCCGAAGCTTGCGGAGGAGGTTGAGCGGGGAGGGGCGTTGGCGGCTGCTGCTGTGGAGGAGGCGTAGGTGTTGCTAATGCGGCCTGCTGCAGCCGCGGAGAGGTTTCCTGGTGCAGCGGGCTGTGACTGCTGACGCTTAGATCCTGTACGGCGAGTGCCTCGGCTGCCGCTATGACGTGGTCATGTTGCAAGGAGGATTCCCGCTGCTGCCGCCGCCGCCTTGCGTAGCTCTGATGCTGCCGTAGCGCCTGCTGTAGCATTCCGCTAGCGCTGCTGCTGCCGCCGCTGCCGAAGCCGCCACCGCCGCCGCCGCCGCCGGCGCTACTGCTGCCCTCCTCGCCCGTCGACCCATACGGTGCTCCGGGCCCCGACCTGGGGTACGACGGAAGCGTGGAGCCGATAGAAGCGGAGGGTGAGTTGGAAGCTGCTGCTGCCGCCGCCACTGTCGCGGACGCTGCAGTCCGTACTGCAGGCATCACAGCGCCCACAAGCCCTGACGCGAATTCGCTCGTTGGCGGATCCATGCCGTACGTTTGGTGCGGCGGTGTTGGCGGCAGCGGCCGCGGCAGCGTGCGCGGTGTCAGCTCGAACTCCTCCTCCACGTCCCCCACCTCGGTGACCTCCTCGTGCTCGGGTGTACTGCTCAAAAGCGCCGCGCCGGCGGGGCCGCCGGCGACGGTGCCGCTGGCGATAGTGGCACGCGACGGCGTCCGCTTGACGTCCGCCGGGAGCTGGTGGCGCAGCGATAGCGATATGGAATCGTCCATGCTGCCTACCGGAAATGCGATGGCGGCGGCGGCGCCGCCGCCGCCGGCGCCGCCGGCGCCACCATTCTGGCAGAACCACGGGCAGGATTCCGCCAGCGTGCCCTGCGACGATGACGTCGATAGCGGCTGCTGCTGCTGCTGCTGCTGGGGCGGCGGCGACGGCGGCGGCTCCATCCTCGCTGCGGACAACGTGCGCCACGATGCCGAGGATGTACGACCAGGCCGGTTTAATTCGACGGCCACGGGTGGCGGCATGAAAATGTACGTCAACGGCGCTGGCGCCAGAGCACCGCCGGCGGCGGCAAGCAAAGACAGCTGCTCCTGCGTTTTTTTCTGTTGCTGTTGCTGCCGCTGCTGCTGTTGCGGCGGCGGCGGCGGCGTTGGCGGCAGCGCGTTGCTAGGAGCAGACATGGACACGTAGCTCGCGAACGAGTTGCCAACGACGACGCGACCCGCTGCGTTGCCGCTGCTGCGGCCGTCGCCGCTGCGCGACGGGCCCCCAGGGGGGCAGCACATCAGCCCAGCAGAGGTGAACTCGCGGCTACAGCCCGCGGCTACAGCCACCACACGGCCGTCCAGGTACTCCCTCGGCGATGCAGCCGCCGCCGGCGCGTGTGCACTAGGGAGAGGGTGGGACATAGAGGACGGCAGCGGCGACGGCACACCCGCACCGCCGCCGCTGCCGTACAGCGCATCCGCTGCAGCGCACTGCGCCGTTGGCCGTTGCGGCAGAGGCGGCTGCGCCGCTGCGCCGCGCTGCGTCAGCGACGTCGAGCCCCTTCCGAACAGGTCGAAGCTCCCTCGGTTGGGCTGGGTGTGGCGGCTCTCACCGATCCGCGGGGAAGGTAGCGGCGGCGGCGGCGGCGCTACTGCCATCACCGCCGCCGCGCCGGCGGCGGTGCCGGAGGGGCGCTTGCTCCGGCGGCCCGTAGCGGACCAGTTCCAGGGTGAGGAGAAGGGCGACATTCGGCCGCTGCGGGGGCTGCTCCAGCCGCTGGTGGCCGCCGCCTGGTAGGCACCGGCCTGCTGGGCCATCAGAGTGTCGTACTCTCGAAGCGCCTCCTCCCAGTCGTTGGTGAACCTGCGACCCAAGGGCGCGTGGGAAGAGGCGGTTGAGATTTGTTTGTGGCGGGATTGGGGGCTTGCGAGTGCGGCGGTGGCGGATGGCCATCGGCCTCGGGCTAACTGCAGCACTGTTTTGCAGTGTTAGCTTCTACTGCTACTGCTGTTACTTCTAGTGCTCCTTGTACTCCTGCTGCTGCTGCAGTGGGGCAGCGAATCGGCAAGCTGAAACACAGAAGGCATATATATACACCGGCACACACGGACACTCGCACACTCACACACACACACACACACACACACTCACACACACACACACACTCTCTCTCTCTCATTCTCTCTTCTGTGGACAACGGCCGTCAGAGGCCATGGACCCCCGGGTGAAAGGGGAGGAGGGGGGCTCCAGCGACCTGAACTTCCCAACCGCTAACCGCTAACCGCCACCATTCCACCCACCAGCAGCTCCACTCTGTCTCCCCAACACCCGGGGCACATGCTACAACAACACTCACACACACACAAAAAAGAGTAGAGCTACGTGCATGGGGAGGGGTCAGCTGATGGGCTAAACACCCCATTCCTCATCCCAGCAGCACAGCACCTTCACCTCCCCTCCCTCCCCTCACCTCCCCTCACCTCCCCTCTCCTGCCCCCACCCGTACCTGCAAGCAAAGATTTGCTGCTGCCGCCGCTGCCGCCCGCTGGTCAAACCTGAGCGCCCCGACGGCGGCGGCAGCGCCGTACCCACCACTGCAGAAAACGCGCCGCTGCCGCCGACGCCGCCGACGCCGCCACCGCAGCCGCCGCTGCCAAAGCCAGCTCTGCTGCCTCGCTCCGCCGCCGCTGTCGCCTCCTCAGCTTCCGAGGGCGGCCCCAAGTTGGCTTGCATGCGGTACAGCTCCAACATTACCGAGTAGGTGGCCAGGACCTGGCCCGGGGCAGCCACGGCGGCCAGCTTCTCAGCCATGGCGGTGGGCGCGCCGCTGTAGGTGAGGCAGTGGTGGGAGGAGGAGATGCCCCACTCCACAGGGCCGCTGTCGACGCCTACCCGGATCCTGTAGTTGGCAGGTAATCAGGACAGCAGTTGCAGTTGCAGCAGCAGCAGTCGCAGTTGCAGTTACACCAGCAATAGCAGTTGCAGTTGCAGCAGCATCAGCAGTAGCAGTAGTAGCAGCAGTAGCGGGAGCCGGGGATAGGGGTGTGGTGGGGAGAAGTCCTGACAAGCAACATAGGCGACAAGGGAAAATTGAGGTAGAGGGGTTACGAAAGCGAAAGGAGTATGGGGCCCGCCACTTCAGCATGCAGTCAAGTCGCCCCTTTGACCGGTCGCAGAATGCTGCTGTTACCCCCGGAAGCGCCCCGCAAGGTACAATCGGTCGCAGTGCACGCGGTGCGGAAGAAGATGAGGGACAGAAGGACAGGACACAACCCCCCTCCCCCCACCTCACCACACATGGTCGCTTACCGGGGCCCCCGCAACGTCGTCGTCACGCACCGCCGGTCTGCTACTGCCGGCGCCGTCTGATGACCGCCAACAGACGCGCCGCCGGCCACCACTGCCGCCGCCTCCCTGCCGGTGGAGCTGCCGTAAATCGCGCAGCCGCCCGAGAGCGACACGCCAGGCGCACGCCCCAGCAGCCCGCAGCCGTCCATGCCGCCCAGGTGCAGGGAGAAGATGTCGCCGCCGTCCTCCGCGTCCTCCATCTCGTCTCGGAGCGCCCATGCCAGGGAAGTTTTAGCCGCCGAGTCACGGGGGCCCCCGGGCGAGCCGGCGCCGCTGCTGCGGGCCGTCGCATCAGCGGCACCACTCGCCCGCGCGCTCAGCATTCCCGCCTCGGCGGCAGCGGTGGCCGCCGGCACGTGCGAGTGCGATAGTGCCGCCGCCGTTCCGCCGCCGCCGCCGCCGCCGCCGCCGCCATCGGCATGTGAGCCGCCGCCGGCAGAAATCCTCAACCGCGAGGACAGCGCGGCAAACTTGGTGCTAAGGTAACCGGATGGTTTGGGCGTGATGCCAGCCGTCGTAGCCGTCGTACAGCTTACCGAGCCCGAGTCCGTGGCGACGAGGCCGCTGCCCGTGAGGGTTGTCCCCGCCGCCGGAATGGACGCCGCGATGGCTGCGCCGCTACCAAGCGCACCCTGAGAGCCCAGGGCAATCAGCTGTTTGCCGCTCCGACGACGGTAGCTTCCGTGGCAAGCCATGACGCCGCTGGCGGTGCCATGCACCGTCGGGCTGCGGCCCCGGACGCCAGCGGTGGCGGCGGCGCTGCCGCCGCTGCCGCCAGCCACGCCCGCCGGCGCCTGCCGTACTACCGGTGCCGGCGGCTGCAGCCCTGTCGTCGGCACTAAGTCCAAGTCCGCGGGCGTGCTACCCGCGCGAGGCCCCAGCGCCATCGTGTACGACTGCTGCAAGCCCCGTTCCACTGTCGCCGAAAGGGCCTCCCGCGACAGCGTCCGGGCTCCATCCCCTGCAGGGCCCCCGCTCGCTGCCGACCTGGGTGCTCTTGAAGACACAGCCACAGCCGCCGAGCCAGCAGGCTCCGAGGCCGCCGCCGCCGCCGCCGCCACTGCCGCCGCTGCCGCCGCCAGAGACGGAGAAGTCCACAGCGCCGTGTTGCTGTCGTACGATGTTGCCAGCTCCAGGGTCCGGATACGTCCCCGCCCCGAGACCGGCGACGGCGGCGGGCCAGTGCAGGAACCAGCTAGCGCGATGCCGCCGCTGCGGCTGCCGTACAACGTCAACGTGCCACCGCCGCCGCCACCACCTGTGGATGCCCTCCCTGCAACTGCCTGCTGCAGCCGCTGCAGTTGCTCCTCCCGGCATAGCTCATGAGCCAAAAGCTTTGCTGGCCAATCTACGGCGGCGGACCCGAGCACTTCACGACATCGCAGCGCCCACCGTACGGCATCCAGCGGGAACGCGAACGCGACGCTGAGGGTGCCCTGCTCCCAGTCCTCCGAAACCAAGTAGCCGCGATGACACGCCAGCTGCTCCAGCACCGTGCGCCGTAGCAGCGCCAACCCCTGCCGCAAGGCCTGCTCGTCCCACTCCCGCAGCGCGCCCACGTCAGCCACGTTGAGCGACGCTACCGCGACGCGACCCACGGGTGCGGCGTACAGCGACAGGCCGACAGCGGAAATCTTACGTGGCGGCGGCAGCACCGCAGCGCGCGCCGCCAGTTCGGGGCTCGTGGCAATGTACAGCGGCATGACGCCGGCGGGCTCATGGTCCACGGGCCCGCCGGCGGCGGCGGCGGAAGAGGGCGGCATGACGCGGTAGCGGCCGATGTTAATGAGCAACGCCTCCGCGGCGGCGCCGTGGAGCCCGCCGGCGGCGGCGGCGGCGGCCATCAGAGCTCCCCAGCAAGCCCCGCTCAGCAGTATCAGTCCGCCCTGCGATGCCAGCCCATGGGGACGAGGAGGGGGTGGAAAGACGAACCACACGCGATTTAAGCTGCTGCCAGGGTAAGAAAGTAGCAAGGAGGGGGTGGATGGCGTCTAGGACGTGAAGGAGGAGGAGGAGGCGGAGGCCGCGTCTGCTGGACTTGGAGAATGAAGGCCAGCTGATAGCCAAACGGGCTGGAACATGGCAGCATGGGACCGTAGCGTAATGTAATGGTGTGTGACGGAGAGGGCATTACGAAGCCGCGGAGAGGCATGGGCACGGGGGTGGGTGACTCCACCGGTGACTCTACCGCTCACTCCCGCCCGGGGGTCGCAGATTGCTGCTGGGATAGACACGGTACGGGTACGGCCCCATTGGAGCCAGGGAAAGGCGCGGCGCGATACAGTATACACGGTGGATCGCCCCGGTGGATTGCCCCCAAGTGAGCCATGTGCGAATCGCCCCCGTTGCCCCGAGGGAGGAGGGGGAAAGGAGGAGGAAATTGTGAAAGTGCATCTTACAAAATCCTATACGAATGCGGAGGGAGACGTCGAGGAGGCAAGGAAGCACGGAAGAGCGAGCCGCCTTCCAAAACACCTGACGGACCTGCGCGCTGTCCGACACCAGACGTACAATGCTGGCGCACTCGCCGCTGTACACGGTCCGGGCGCTGGCTCTGTTGTGTGTGAGCTCCGACTCGCTGGCTATTCCCGAGTGCAGTCCCATCCTGCACGACAGGACAGGGGCAGGACAGGGGCAGGACAGGGGCAGGACAGGGGCAGGACAGGGCAAGGTAGGGCAAGGTAGGGCAAGGTAGGGCAAAGGACATCATCCCACAGTGCGACACGGGGAGACAGGATGGCACACACAGAGCCGGCGGCACGGGGCCAGTACAAGGCACCACGCACAAGGCGCAGCAGACGTCGTAGCCTGCTGCGGAAGAGCACAGACCTGACAAGGACGTCATGAGCTGAACCGGCAAATGGGCATCAAGACAAAAACGACGTGGGGCAGATAACGGGACTTGCTCCAAGGACCTGACCTACGGTGCCATGGGAGGAGGAGCCCACCCGCACCCCCCGACCCCCAACCCAACCCCCGATGATATTTCCTTGCACATTGCGGCATGGGTGATGCCCGTGATATCTATGTATAAATAAATATATAATATATATGTGGCAAAACATCAAAGAAAAGGTTATGACGAACCCATCCACCCGCAACGCCACAAGCCGAAGGGGTAATACAGCCCGGGCAGTGTAAGGAAGCTCGCCGAGGTTCGAGACTTTCCCCCCCATACACACACATACACACACGCACACGCACCGCACCCCACCTGATCCGCAAACCCCTCCACAGCAGCCGCCGCTTACAGTCCCCACCGCCCGCCTCATCCAGATGCCTGATTGCTGCCTTCAGCGACTCCTCCAGCGTGCAAGCCTCCAGGTTGATAAGGGTCCCTCCGGTCACACAGACCAGCTCCGGACTACCGCCAGGAGCTGTCGGAAGCGGACTGCGCCCCGGGGCCACCGCCACCGGCTGCGTCTGCGCACGGCGCGACGTGCCGCGGCGTTCGCCTCTGCCACCCAGCATACTGAGGCCAGGACTCTGGCTGGGGCTAGCGTGGCGCGCGCGGTTGCCGGCGCCTATGTTCAAAGCAGGGCCGCTGCCGTTGTGGGAGATCTCAAACAAGCCCTCGCTGACGCTGGTGGCATCGACCCCCGGCTCGATGATGCCGTTGCCGCCGCTGGTGAAGGGCGCCGCCATTCCGGATCCTGTTGGCGTGCGGCTTGTGCTGGTGGTAGGCAGTAAGTTCAGTGGCGCTGAGACGTATTCCGGCATGACTTCGATGACGTTCTTGACGCAGCCAATGGCGGCGGTGGCGGCGGTGACGGCGGCGACGTTGGTGTTGGTGCTGGTCGGGTCCTCCAAAGCGGCGGCGGTCTCGCCGCCGTGTATAATCGCCCAGGCGCCGCTGCTGTTCATGGACGAGGCGGGTGCGAACTGCTCCTCCATTAACTGCAATTGGTGCTGACGCGGCGAGGGTTGCTGCTGGGACTGCTGCTGCTGCTGCTGAGACTGCTGGTGATGCGACTGGGTAAGGAAGTGGTGATATCGGTGGTGTAAAACCTCCACTTGCTGCGGCGGCTGTAGTGGCTGTTGCTGGGCCCCCCGCTGCAGCTCCTGCAACTTACGAGAGAGGGCCCCCGGCTTTCGGGGCGGCACCAGCCCTTGCGGCTGCTGCCGCTGCGGCGGTGGCGGAGACGGCGGTGACGGCGGCGGCGGCGGTGACGACGATGAACCCCCCGCCGCAGCCAAGTCACTCATCTCACTACGGCCACTCAGCCGCGCCATGATCAGGCGCGAGGATGTGCTGCCACGGGACGCCGGGACGTGCGCCGACAGCGCCGCCGCCGCCACCTCCGCCGTGGTGGCGGTGGGGGTCACGCTATGCGTCGCACTAGCTGCCGCGGCTACCGCCGTAGCGGCGGCGGCGGCGGCGGCGGTGGAAGCTAGCGGCATGGATGTCAAGGCGCGGATGGCAGCGTCAGCTCGTTCCGCGCCCCGCCGTAACACCGACGGCGACGGCGACGGCGACGCTGCTAGCGGTACTTGCGTGGAGGCAAACAGGGGATTGAACGTCGCGTCGGTCTCCAAGATGTCGCCCCGGCTGGTGGGCGTGCGGACTTCCTCCCGGCTGAGGTGGTGCAGCAGCCCCATGTCGATCGACATGCGCTGCCTGGAGCAAAAGGGCGAGTGTAGCCGCCCTTGCAGTAGCGTAGGAGACTGCGGGGCCATGGAGCCACGGCTGGCAGTAGCACGGGCAAAGGACGCTGGTAGCATGCTGGCAAGCAGCTGTAGAGTGGAGGGGCTGGCGGCAAACGCGCAGGGGCCCGACGCAGCGCCGCCGCCGCCGCCGATGGAGGTGTGGGAGTGCGGCCGCATGCTCATGCGCGATAGGACGGTCTCCAGGGTCGCGGGTCGGCGGAAGGGAAATCCCACCGGGGCGCTTGTGTACACGGGCGCACAGGCCTGCGAGGTGTATGTGAATGTATGTATGTGTATATGTATGTATGTATGTATGTATGTATGTATGTATGTATGTATGTATGTATGTATGTATGTATGTATGTATGTATGTATGTATGTATGTATGTATGTATGTATGTATGTATGTATGTATGTATGTATGTATGTATGTATGTGGGAGAGGGATTGGATACGTGCGGAAGATCGATATGCTGGGCTGGCGGTCGGCGGTCTCCTCTCTCCTCCCTTCCCCTCCTCCCCTTCCCCCTTCTCTCCCTCCTCTCCCCTTTTCCTTCCCCCCCATCACCACCCCCTCCATGCGGCTGCCCACCTCATTCGCCAGCAGCTCCGGAGGCCAGTTCACCTCCAACAGCTCCTGCTGGGTTTCCACAGCGAACGCCAGGGCTGCGTGGCAGGCAGGCAGGCGAACGGGTGCGGGTGCGGGTGCGGATGCGGGCGGAAAGGGCCCAGCATGAGAGCGGGCGGACATGAATCCCAGATCCGCCAAGCAAAAGGGACCTCCCTCAAACGCCCCCCTGGGTGATTGGCCCCGTAGGTTGGGGGGGACTACGCAAGCGACACGCGGGACCCGCGGACAGGGGCCCGGGGGGAAAAGAAGAGGCAGCAACGCACCATCCAGGATATGGGCGGACTTGTGGCGGGATTGGGGTTATGCGAATGGAACAGCCCTTGGTAATGTGCAGGGAGGGGGCCCACCCCGGGTATGAAGGCACGGACGCCTGGAGGGAGACCGAACATTGGGATGTAAACGTGTGTGTGTATATGTGCCTGTATGTATGAGATTGGGAACCCCCCGTGGTCAATATGAACCTGTTCACCTGTTTCGGGCTTGTGGAATGCCAGGATGAAGGAGTCGCCCTGCCGAGGAGGAGGGAGGAGATGGGAGACGAGCGGTAGGCGGAAGTTCGGAAGGGTAAATGTGCGCGGAAGGGGGATGGAGGGAAGAGCCAGGCCGGGCAATATTAGCTAGGTAAGGAAAAGGCTGGGAGACGGAAAACCCCATGCCAAGGGGGAGGAGGGGCGTGATAGAGGGTTTTGCCGAGGGGCGCGAGCAGCGAAGTGTGAGGACTGTGCGCGCGCGTAGAGGCGGGAAGGGGCGAGTCACGCGTGGTTGCGTGTATGTATGTGTGTGTATGTGGTTGCGTGAGAGAGGGGGGGAGAGGGCGCCTAAACCGCATTGCACAGACATGGGCTGCCGAGGCACTTAAAAGATGCATCGCCTAAAAGGCACGTAGGGACAAGGCCATGCAGGCAGACATGCATACATACATACATACATACATGCAGACATGGAAAATGGACAGACATGCATGGCGTGGGACTTGGTGCTTCCAAAGCGGATTCCCACCCTCGCCCACCCAGCTCAGCCCAGCCGCTCCCTCACCTCCGTGGCGGATTCGTATCCTGTAGCAGCAGCAGTAGGAGCAGGGCAGATGGGGGCAGTGGGAGGTGGGGGCCGGAGGGGAAAGACGAACCACGTGAACGAGTGAAGCTGCTGCCAAGGAAAGAGTGTACAAGAAGCAGGACTGACCAGTAGGGTCGGGGGCCCAAGCGCGGCGTCAGCAAAGGAAATGCGCAGATGCGCCGCGGATCCCCAAACACGTCGCAAATGAGTCAGTTCCGTGCAGTGCGATTCAGGCACCTCCGCGCAATGGATGTGTGTTAATTCGCACAGGTGTGGCAACGCGGCCCCGCCCGTATTCGTGCAGGGATTTCCCTACACGCTGCAACAGCAGCAGCAGCAGCAGCAGCAGCTGCGTGCCGCCGAGATGCAGGCCGGTGCAGGAAACGGAAGGGTAGCTGCCGGCTAGGTCCAGTTGAAGAGGGCCACACACGCCACACCGCGGCCGACTTCGCCCAACCTGCCCCCGCTCCGACCTGCCGCGGTGTGAAGTCACACACACACGCACACACACACACACACACACACCATCCACAGGACATCGACAATCCCTTCCTTGAAGTTTGCACATATTCCCCAGCTCCCCCTCAACCCCTCAACCCCTTCCCCTCTTCCTCAACCCCTTCCCTTCCCCCACCCAACTCGACCCAACTCACCCCGGTGGCGGACCAGCACCTTGCGCAGACAGGCATGGTGCAGTCGCAGCGCACAGCCCATCACCACCTCGGGCAGCTCCTCCCACAACTTGGTGGAGCTCTCAATGTCTGATGTTTGAAGGGGGTTGGTGGGGTTGGAGGGGTTTGAAGAGTGGCGAGACCGACTAAGAGCAGGAGGAGAGGACGTGGGACAGGGGCCCACATGGGCTCATTCAACTGGCGAGGTCAGGGTCAGGGTCAGGGGAGTGCAGCGCGGATGCGATTGGGAAGCGGAAAGGCTGCCCCTAACATTGCAGTGCACGAAAGCTGTTTGTGTATGTATATCGGAGAACCTGCGCCACACACACACGCACACACACAACACACGCGCGCGCACACGCACACGCCCCACCAGGTCCCCCTGCCTCCTGAACACCTGCCATCGCCGTCGTGGCTGGCCACATTAACGCCACCGCACAAACGCCCCTCTCCGACACACACACACACACACACACACACACACCTGTGATCAGCAACGTCGTGTTGGGTGACACCGCCGGCGCGTCCGGACTCCAAGACGGCCGCTGCCGGCGTCGCAGCGGCCCGCAACCGCGCCGGTACGGCACATACAGCGCCACGGCCAGCACAGCCAGGCCTGCGACTATGAGGGCCACAGCAAGCGGCACCAGGCGCCCCCGGCCGCTGCCAGACGCGGGTGCTGATACTGCTCCTGCTGGCTCCGTGGCAGGGCCCCCTGCCTGTGCCTCCAGTCGCGGCCAGGAGCCAATGTTGAGGAAGGCTGCATACCGTGCTGCGGTAATGCTGGCCCCCCAGGTAGCCGCCGACGTGGAGGAGGAGTTGGAGGTGGAGTTGGAGTTGGAGTTGTAATGGCTGCACAGTTTGGCGTGGAGCTGTTCGATGAGGAGATCCAGCTGGTCCGTGGCGGCGGAGGGGGAGGAGGACGCGGTGTTGAGCAGCTCCGCAAGGAAGTCCGACAACGCGGACCTGGTCGAGAGGGGAGGTGGTAGCACCAGCCGCAGAGGGATGCGGGCAGGTCAGCAGCAGGCGTGGAGGTAACAGCGTGTGTATGGGCAGGTGGGCAAATAGCGGCTGAAGAAGCTGTAAAATAAAAGCCACATCAACAGCAGATGATGATTTGCTTGGTATTTTGACTTGGGTATCTCTCGTCCGATACACGCAGCTTCTAGTAGAGCCAGCAGAGCGGAAAAGCGCCGCACCGAACTGCCAGCAGCCTGCGGGGCAGCTGGCAAGTTGTCCCTCTTGGCCCTTGTCTAGGGCGCCCTAGCTCGCACCCCACCGGTCTGCCGCATCCCGGCTGCCAAGCGCACCCCGCGTCCTCGTCCTCGTCCAGCACACCGTCCCAATACAGAACACCAGAGCATTCCCAAATACACGCAGCCCATATCGTCTTGCTTTGCTATCCCTTCCTCCCTTACCCCACACAACACCTAATTTGACGGTACTGCTAGGCACGAAGTCATCAATCATAGGGGAGCCATATCGGCAAAGCCCCCCTGCTAGTGCCGGCAGTGCAGTGCAGTGCAGTGCAGTGCAGTGCAGTGCAGTGCAGTGCTAGCAGTCCGGTCTTAGTCTACACCCAGCCTGTTGAGTAGTAGGTTTGTGTGCGCCGTAACGAACCAGTCGGTCTCCTCTTCCCGGAATGTGCTTCATGCAGCTATGTGGCTATGTGCCCTTTGGCTCGGCTTCTCTGCTTTCAGGCATAAAACCTTGGCAGCCCACCACTGTAACATGAACAACAACAACAACAGAGCCCCAGAACACCCCGCCTTGCACGCCCGGCCCCTCCTCCCCACCCCTACACATGCCCAGCCCCACATACAAACCACGCACCTGTAGAAGGCTCCCCCGGCCATGTGCAGCCCCCAAGCCAGGTTCGGGTGCGCTAGCGCCGCTTGTTGCTCGTCCAGCGCCCGGCCCATCAGGTCCCCGTCATAGCCGGCCGCAGCCCACGCTGCGCGCGCTGCGGCAGAGAAGTGGCTGGTCCGGAAGGGCGCCGTGTTGGCCCCCGGCTCCCGCAGCAGCTGGAGGGAGCCCTCTGGGCCCGCGACGTGGGACAGGCTGTACCAGGCGAGGAGCCGCTGGGCAGTCGTCGACCTGCGCAGTGGGGCAGGCCAGCTAGATTGCGAGAGAGTATATGCATGATGTGTGGGACAGGGAGGGTCATATCTTCACCCTGCGGCCGCTACCTGGCGAAGCCCTGCCTTCCCCGGTATTTCGGGGCACACCCTCATCCAGTCACCCTAGAAGTCGACTTCTCAGTGGATCGGTCAGGTTCAGCATCCATCACCGGCATCCAACGGAATCTGCCGGATCAACGGCGGCTCAACTCCATTCCTGATCAGCTCGCAGGTTAGTATACATAAACAACACAGAGATTGTCTCTTTTATCCCAGGTCACCACCGTCCGTCGACTAGGGGCACTTTACCTTCCACCATCGGAAGGATATTACGTCTCTGACAGGTCTCGATCAAGGAACCTCCGGGGCATCGGTGTGTGTTTTACCAGCAGTGCCTGAACTAGTATATGGATGTATATGTGAAATCAGGAACGCGGCTGTCTCACTGGAGAGGCGGTTGGTAAGTTAGGATCACGGGCTGAAGACCTCAAAGCTGCTAACATCTCTCCCTTCTTTTCCCCCTTCCTCCATCCGCCTCTACCTGGTGCTGATGCCGGCAACTAGCAAGCTGCTTGGGATGTACGGCGCACGGTTCACAAGCACCGCATCACTCGGCGCTTCCGTCTGCAAAACATGGCGCCGTCGCCGCCCTCGCCCTCTCCGCCGCCTCTCCTGCTCCTGCTGCTGCTGCTGCTGCTGCCCGGCTCCCGTTGCGGAGATGTCCCCTAAGGGGCAGTTCCCGGTGCTGCACAGCACCAGGCGGCTGGAGTCCTCTGGACTTAGCACGAACCGGGATCCCGGCAGCTGCGCCACACCGAACAACGCGTTGGCGTTGGTGGCGGCTGCAGCGCCGGCGGTAGCGACGTCGGGGGACGAGCGGACGCCGCTTGCTGACTGGTTTTGGCCGGCGGTGTCGCTTGGAGGTTGCTGTTGGGATGGTGCGATCCGCGCCACATCCTGGGGGGAAGGATTGAGGTGGGGCGAGGCGGCGGGGATGTGTACGGGGTACATGGGGATGCGAGGGGCCACACACCCACCCACCCACGCACACACACACGCAGCGGAAGTACTGGGGAGCAAACGACGGCGGCGGAAGGGGCACGAGGTCTGAACGATAGCAGAGTATGAGGGCGGGTGAGCGCATAAGGCGCATCTACGGCCCCGTCACGCCGGACGAGACTGGTACGCTGCAGTGCGCGGCAGTGCGAGTTGCAACCGACCGGCGATATGGGCCCCATGAACACCCTAGGACAGCGAGCCCCGCGCACCCCACATGCGCCAACCGCTCTACCCCGGGCAGCGGTAATTTAATAAATCTGTGCCGCGCAGCCCATGACGTGAGGAGTGCAGCTAGGGCTCCGCAAAGACCATGAAGGCATAGCAACCATGTTAAGACCGGGCCACTATTCCTACGATGCCAGCTGCTCGTAGGGAGTTGGCCACGGTGGCTTGGCCCCCGGGCCCGCATGGCCGCGTAATGCTGCACGCTTTGTCCACTGGTGCTGTGCCCCTCACTCATACTCCGGGTTAAGATATCTAGCTGCTGGTGCGTAGACCTTTTCCCCGCCTTCCTACCTTCAACCTCTTCCTTTCCACAAGCCCTTTTACCTTATCCCCTCTCATTTCCCTCCTCTCACTTCCCTCCCTCCTCTCACTTCCCTCCCCCCCTTCCCCTCCAAACCTCACCTTGACCTGCTCAAACGTCCCGACCGAGAAAGCGCACGTGCCCAACCGTAGACCCGGATGCACGAACCCACACATGCCGTCTGGTTGCGGGAGGGCGGGCCGCCACAGCCGCAGAAACAGCTGCGCGGCGGCCCGGAAGGCAGCCGTTCGGACGAGCGGCGCTGCGGTCTCACGGTCGAAGTACACTCCCTGACTCAGCCCACGGCTCTGAGCAAGGCTGTGCCAGATTGCGGAGAAGAGCGACAGGCTACTGCAAGCTGCGGGACATTCGTAACGGGCACAACACGTGTGCGCGTGTGTTGGGGGGTAAGGGGGGAGAAAGGGGATTACCACATAAAAAGTGAAAGCAGCCACTGCCGCATCCAACAAGGCACCAACTACCGGAAACGATACAGCTGGCGATCCCGGGTGGAGGGGGGGAAAAGACGAACCACAAACGAGCGAGTGAAGCTGCTGCCAAGGAGGGAAAGAGTGCTGCAGTGCGGCCGATGTACAGAGAGCAAAGAAACTGACCAGGCAGGGGGGGGAAAGGGAAGTGTAGGAACGGGTACATGACGACAAGAAACCCTAGACCAGGGGTGCGGTATTGGTTAGAGCCTAGCTACACCAGCACTGCTAGTCCAGCCCAGACAAAAGCTAGTGAACTCCGACCCGATGTTCGTAAGTCATGTTCACAACTGGCTATATCACGGCGAAGCCCTGAAGCAAGTGTGGCCCGGAAGCGTCTCGACGCGAGAGGCCCCGTCAGGAAAGGAGACGGCGGGGAGGATCACGAATGGAGGCAAGGATCAAGGGAGGAAACAAAACGGGTGTGAATGTCCAAGGAACCAGCACGTGCCGCCGGGAGGTAGGGAGAAAGAGGTAGGGAGAAAGAGGTAGGGAGAGAGGGAAAGCGCGGAAGCTCTTACGTTCCCCAGTTGTGGCGCACAGAGCTGCACTGGGGGCCCCGGCTGGGCGAGAGATGCCGTACAGCTCCACCAGGTCCGCCAGCTCGTCCCAGGTCCTGGGGATCTGCGTGCGGCGCCGCGGCGGGAGGCCAGGAGGGGGGGGAGGCAAAAGGAGAGAGGCGCGCTGTTCAGGCACATAAAGCGGGGAAGGATTGAGGCTTTAGGTGTGCTAAGCATGGACGGTGGTGGGGATGGGGCCGGAGATGGGGGGGGAAAAGACGAACCACGAGCGAGTGAAGTTGCTGCCGGAGATGGGGGTTTTTATGAAGGGAAGAAGCCTCTCTGTTTAAAGCCTCTGTACCCCTCTGTTTCCGCACGTCCACGATGGTCCCCCCACCGCGACACGCACATGCTGTCCAGCCCTTCCCCCCCCAGTCCTCCAACTCCAACTCCCGGACTACCACCGCCCTCTCGCTGACACCTCATCCTTCATCGCATCCCTCCTCCCTGCCCCATTTCCCATCAGCCCCTGATCCACCATGGCTTCCACAACCCCGCCGCCGCCGCCGCCACCACACCTATACCGCCGTCGTACCTCTCGGCCCATCTTCGCCAGCACATCCCGCCGGTACACCAGCAGCAGCACGGGGGCGTCCAAGGGCACCACCGCCGCGCCGCCAACCTCCCCCAGCGCCAGCTTGCGGCGCAGCGGCGGCAAAATGTCCCCGAAGCTGAAGCTGCCATCTATAGCGGCTAGGTCCCGCAGCGATACCAGCTCGCCGGCAGGCACCAGGTCGCTGAACGCATGTGCGGCATCCGTGATGATGCCCTGAGCGCCGGCTGCGGCCCCGGCTACTGCTGCTGCTGCTGCTGCGTCTTTGATGGCTGGGGCCGTGATAATGGTGGCTGCATCGTTTGCGGGTGCGGCTGCTGCTGGCAATGAGGACGGAGCCGGCTGGGTCCAATTGCTGCTGGTCGGAGTTGTCTGGGTGGCTGCTAGGAGGCCCTCCCCGGCGGCCGGCGGAGCACCAGAGCTGGCTACTGCGCCACTGCAGGAAGTTACCTGGGCGTGCACTTCTATGGACAGCGGCCAGGCGTTGCTGGGGAGAAGGCCCGGTCCGGCGGCGGCGGCGGCGGCGGAGGAGGAGGAGGAGGAGGAGGGGGAGGGGGAGGAGAACAACGCCGCTATTGCGTCCCGAACGACACGGGTCAAGCTCCCTGGAGTGCAGGTAGTGAAGCCCTGCGCGGGGAGGGGAACGAGCGGGGTAGGGGGAAACGTAGGTTTGGGGAGGGGAGGTGTCTGGGGCTGGGTATGCCGTACGGCGGCGCTGAGAGCGGTGTGAGCCTTTGGGATTGAGTCCGCAGCTCACCAGGTCGGCGGTGTCGTTGCTGGCGCTCTGCGCGACCCCGACATATGCCAAGAGGCGGAGGGCGCCAGGCGTCGACGGGAACGCCGTGCACCTGCTTGCACGCCGCGCGACAGTTGCGTCAAGATAAGAGTGGGCTATGTCTTTCAGGCGCATTTTCCCCGTAGAGGGGTCACGCGTCGTACATAAATACCGTTTCCAACACCAAATGGAGTAACCCGCGTGGTGGGCCTAAGACATTACCTGTTGGGAGTGAGCAAAAATTTCAATTCCTCAGTAAGGCTGGTTGCTGAATCGCCATTATCTTGCGCAACCGCGTTTGGAACCAGTAACAGGACAAGGAGCGCCGCAAAGCGCTGGTGCCTGGGACATTGGCACATTAGATGCATAGCTAACAATTCATTTTGTTATGCCATCCTTGACAACACAGTCTTGAAGCAAAGGACTTAGACGACTCCACCATTCGTTCACCCTAAAGCGTGACTACCCTCTAGTTACATAATGTAAAACTCCACAGGCAGTTCATCCGGACTAAGGATTAACTTTTCAGCGGATTTCACCATGCGCAAAATTTGCACATCAGTACAAACCGTACGCAGTACCAGACAAGGAACCCCAACTAATCTTGTGCCAAGCTGGAGGACCCACGCGCTAAATGCATATGATTCTCGTTCTGTGAGCCTTACTGATGATGCTAGTAGCCAAGAGCTGGCAAAAACGGATTGGCTCCACAGTTGGTTTGTGTCCTTGCTTGTAATTCCATTATAGGATCATCCCCGAGAGCAATCCCTGTCTTGCCGTATCCTTAGGCTAATTCCTAGTTCTAATTGGCTAAACTGAGGCTTAAACAGGCGCAAAGGCTCCAAAGTCTTTGGTTGGCGGGAAGAAAGGATGGCAGCGCAAGCACGCCTCGTTGAGGAGCGGAAGGATTGGCGAAAAGATCATCCGGTGCGACTATATTGTTGCACCTGTGACATATGTAACGTACCGTTACCTGATTCCCCGTATTCAACCATGCAAGATGGGAGAGGCACTGCGTGGGCATGTGGAACCCCCACGGAACGGTGAACATATGATAGGTTATTGCATGTGGTATTGCGATAAGTATAGCTATTTCCGCGGTGACCCGTTCCAATCCAGGTTTCTCGTTCGAGTTGTGTCAAGACGTAATGTCCGTACCAGCACCTTTCGGTGCTCACCTTCCTGAGTAGTCGTCTTAAGCCCTCAGGAATCCATCAAACCTCCTTCCCCTCACATACACACACAGACAGAAGTTATGCTTGTGACTACTTACGTCTCGCGGCTGAGATCATTGACACACACACACGCACACACACACACACACTCTCTCACACAAAAAAAATCAAGGCCACGCGCGTCTTTAATGCTCCGCAGCCTGGCATGGTCGCTAAGCCAGCAACACGCTCTGACGGCAGCACCAACATGTTCGAGTGGGAGTGCAAAGTACCGGGATTGAAGGACACCTTCTGTGAAGGGGGTGAGTCACGTGCTGGCCTCCGGTGTCTCCATGGTCCAGTCTGTTCCGCACTTCAAAGCTCCAAGTCCTCCACCTTATGTGAGGATTGGCGGGTTTTGCTTTGCCCCTCGCCCCACAGGCATGTTTCCGTTAACAATAAAGTTCTCTCCAGAGCATCCTCACAAGCCGCCGCGCGTCTATATGCCCAGGGGTTTCTTCCACGTAAATGTGTTCGAGGATGGAGGTACGACACCGCAGTATTCGTCTCACTCCGCAACGTCTCGCCTGATGTTCTGAACCTACGCGGCCTAGCCTTGTGTTTTGTCTTGGGCTTTGCTGCGAATGCGTGCGGCAGATCCCAAAAAACCTATCGCAGCGTCTTTTTGCGCTGCATCTTCTCGCACAGGTGTGTGTCTGTCCATCCTCAAGGAGGTCGTGCCCGGGCACCTAGGAGGTGAGCGTATGCAGTATATTCTGGACATGCCATGAAATCTACACCCGCCGATCGGTACTTTCCTGAATTCGTGATGTATAACAGCTCGTGCACCTCATTCTATAACGCAACGTAATCCACGTAAAGGCAGCGGAAGCAGGCTGGCCCTGAGATGCCTCACGCCATGAGACACGTTACGTTATGTTACAGCGTTAAAAAAGAGGATGGGCGAAGCCTTGTTGCCTGACTGCTAACCAACCAACAGGTGCTTTTAACGAGAGCCACAACACAACTTGCACGAACAACGCGCGCACACGTACAAAATCCCCCACCGCTGGGCGGGTAGCCGGTAGCCGGGTGGCGTGCAAACACCACCTACCTACCTACCTGCAGCAGTGCCCCCGGTAGTAGTCGCTCTGTGCCAAGGCCGGCTGTGAACCCGCGTCGTGACCACCGCCGCTCCGTGCAGATGTCTCCGGCTGGCGACCCAACTTCACCGTCAAAACCATTCTGGTGGCGATCCAGGTGGGGCTGCGCGGGTAGGGGTCGGCTGCTCGGCTCGCGGGCACTTGCTGCTGCTGCTGCTGCTGTCATCACGAGGTAGTTAGGGTGGTGCGACCGGGAAGAGCTTGGGAAATGCCGCGGGCTTGCTGCTTGCATTGGGGTGGACCGGGCCTCCGGCGTCACAGAAAGTGTGAAGGGAAAGGAAGTGTGTGTGTGTGCGTGTGGTGCTTGGCTGGACAATGCTTGTCACGCTAAGTGCTTATCTGCTCACTGAGAGCGTTCAGCACTGACCGAGAGCGGTTCGGAAGAAGGGTGTGCTGAAGGGTGTGTGAAGGGCCGTGTTCCTCTACAAGGCAAGGAAGGGCATGCCTTGCGCAAGGGCGTGCAGCAGAAGGAAGCGTACCGTGGGCTCCAGGTGTTGTGCAGCAGCTATGTCACTGCTCATGTCCCGGTGGGCTCATATCGCGGACAGAGCAAAACGTCCTTTGAACACTTCTCGCATCTGCGGGGGAGGGGAGAGGGTGCGCGCTCCTAGTAAACACTGCTCGCAGGCACCGCTCGGTGGACAGCGGTCGTGAATAGTAGGGTGAGGTCATCGTTTACAGCATTTTGACATGACAGACAGGCGGACGGACAGGCTTTTTACGGTCCTTGTCAGCACACGCCTTCACAGCATGTGTAACGCGCACCCCGCTCCCGCCCAGCACACGCTAATCAATTGTAGCATTCGGGTAATTCCTGTGTGTGTGTTTGTGTGTTTGTGTGTGTGTGTGCGAGAGCCATCGCAGGAGCTGCTGAGCAACCCGAACTTTGGCAGTGTTGCCAACATGCAGGTATGCCGAGAGGCCATATGCTGCCTTGACGTTTGACGTTGGGGAACTGGTGTGGCAGGGGAGGGTTGCTGACGGTCATCATCTAGAACGTCGAGTAGCATTTTTGATCATATCATCTAGAACGTCACATGGCATTTTCTTGGGCAGCTTTCGGCATGCACCTGGTTGGTTATTACGTTTTTGGTCTCTGCTGAATTGGAAGGCATTGAAAGACACTGGGCGATACCACTCATGGCTTCTAGGAGGGCCTCGGGGTCTGGGATGCACAAGCCTGAATTGGGCTTTTTGGGCGGAGCTTGAAGTTCATCTTAGTTCATTCATTTCAGAAAGATCTGGTGAGAGCAATTATTGTGCATACATGCACATGCACGTGCACGAGCTGAACAGCTATGACCACCACTGGCAACGAGTAGAAGGGTGATGGGGTGGTGCACATGTATATGCGTTACACCTCGTTGGGTTGTGTTGGCCTCCGAAGGTGTGATGGGATGCATGTTCACGTAGTGGAAGCGGTGCAGGGGGGGGCCACTGGCAGGTTGGGTTTGTACAGCAGGCAGGAGTGCCGTTTCCCGGGGCAGCGGTAGCCAATGCAGAACATCTGTTTCAGTTAGCGTAAGAGGTCTGGGTCATTCGTCCCACGTATGACTTCGGTTCATCATCACGGGTGCTGTAGTGACTGCCGATTAGTTCGCATGAGACTGAAAAGGGCTTTTACCGTTTCGCCGGCCCATCTCCGTGGCTCTCCTGACAAACGCACAGGTGCATGCGATGAAGAAGCGAAGCCAGAAGGAGTACTTGCGGCAGATGCGAGAGCAAACAACGAAGTACACGCCCAAGGATGATGAGAGCTAATCATTAGCTACGTGCACTTCGTTCGTTCGACAGGTCCATGCTTGACTGTTTGTAGGTTTGATAACGACTAACCTACCCCTCCTGGTGAGACATCAATCCTTCGTGGAGGTTTGGTCTTTTTCTTTCGCTGCTTGCGTAGTCTCCTGGACAAGCAGAGTCTGCATGTCATGCGCTGTGGACGTTTTCCTTTGTTTGTGGGTGTTTTTCCGTTTGTCGACATTCTTTCATGAAAAACTGCTGACTGCATTGCATCATGTTGCTAAGCTCCGTGCAGCAAGGGTGGCAAGGATGCCGGCCTAATATTGCAAAGGCGTTCTCGTGTCTGGCTGGACGGGTATAGTGAGGAGGCTGCTTAATGGTTGGGAGGCCTTCTCCGAGAAACATATATAGTTTCCCAAAGCCTCTGCTCTTGTAACACGTATGGCATTACTGGTATGGAAGTCACCGCACTTGCTGCCAGAGCACTTATGACTCACCAGCTGCCAGCTTACGAGGTAATTTCAAACCGGCTGCTGAAGCCACGTCGTGATGGACTGGGGCCTGACATGTCATTGGGGGAGTGTCTGCAATCCTTCATGAGCAATCATGCACACGGGGTTTACCCTGCACTGCCCAAGAAGCCACCCCCTTAAAGGTGGCAACACCCGCCCCAACTATGATTAATGAGCCATCGGCAATCGGCAGCTCAGCAGTTCCCAGCAAGGACCAGTGATGTCGCGTCTGGATACCGCCATCATCACATTACATTGGTGGAAATCCAGAGAGATATATTTGGAGGTGGCCCTTATGGCACCACACGCAAACCAGCACCCTCCTAACCATAATCGGGACAGACCTCGACCCAGGTTGTCCTCCTATATCAACCTGCACACCGGGGTCTCTGACGGGCTGAGGATCATCCACTACTACTAATTGGGAGCCAAAAGGTCCGGGGTGCTGGCCACTGGTCGACCTCCCGGTATAGCTGTTTGCCAACATAGCGGTCAAAGTGTTCCTGCTGGTGGATACAAGTGCACCCATCATCCCTATGGCAACGATTATCAGCTTTAGCTTTAGCAGATTCTGCCCCGCATACATGCGGCTATCCAACCACATGGATATCTTAATTGGGCTTTCAACAAACTCACAAAAGCCAACCCGCTTCCTGGGCTGTAGTGTACTGCACCTATATACAACCATCACCTACCACATCCCTCCCCACAAGGATTTGCCATCCCTGCTACTTAATACTTTGCCGCTAGAGAAGTCAGTGTTTGCAGGTTGTGCTCGCTCCAGGTCAAGCATCCATGTCATATCTTGCAGTGTGAGATCTTAGGTATGGATTGCCGTATGCTGAATGCTATCCGCGACCCACGGTTGCTCGTGGGCATGATTACGGTTGGAGGCTACTAGTTTACGTTTCTGGGTCCTGTCCTCAATCGCAGAGTTTCAGCTGCCACCAGTATCCAGCAGATCCAGTAGGTCAAACACGAAGCGCTAATATAGTGGCCTTTTTCGGTAATGGGTCAACGATTGAACTGAGGCGGCCCTCGACGTTTTGTCGAGGGTTTGTAAGTACCTTTAGTTTTCCCATTCGCGGACACGTCATGGATTCGTCGTGTACCATCTACACGCATTAACAGTTCGGTCGGGCATGCCCTCACTCGCTCGTTCCACCCGAAGGCAGATGTCATAGGAAGGCTCCAAAGCTCATACACGGTCTCCCCACTCCGTGATACCAGCTAGGATAAACATGAGACAACAGGCGCTAACCGGCCAAAGCGCGTGCCATTATAATGTATGAGAGCCGAAGCTCAAGTCCTGAAGGCCTTTAACTGGCAGCCTCACGGGATGCCACGACACTTAGTCATCGCTATTACGAATTGCCGGAGCCCCTCAAGCAACACTTGCTAGCCGGCGATCGCATCAACTGAGGCACACGAACTACACCATTTCCTCCAGCGTGCAGTTCATTTCGCCTTCATTTCGCGTTTGCCAGACAGTCATTTGCAGTAAGGTGTGACGAGACACTTATTTGCAACGGAACATGAGTGACAACTGCCACAGCTACACCCCAAGCATAAGCGCACATGACCGCCGCCCCTCTCTGTGCTTTCACGCTCCCTCACCTCGTCCTAGTTTCTCTCCCGCCGAAGCCACATACCCCTGAAAACGCACTATAATTGACCCTACGTGGTCGAATGCATGTCAGGATCGTATGGAGGCCGCCTCACCCTCCTGCACTGGTCCCTCCTGTACACCCTTCAGTCCAACAACTGCAACCCACCTATAGGCGCATGCGCAGTGAAATCGCTCGCTTGCGTGGATTGTCCAAAAAGCCCCCAACTACTAACCGAAAACTAATATGTCGCTTGCCATTGTGCCTTCTGCAAACCGTTAGAAAAATAAGGATGCGCTAGCACGCCGTGCCTGTTTGGGTAGGACCTTGACCGTCGGCTTGCTTGATGCCTGCTTGCAATGCCCCTGCTTGGCCGTCGAATTAGGTGCGCTTGCAAGTGCCACCTTGGGGGGACATGACTGGGCCGTCTTCTTCAGAATCCCACCCTGCAGTTGTGTAGCACCCCGGGACGAGGCAACCCGCATTATCATTCGTGGTTCAAGAGGCCAGACACAATTCTCGCAGTAATGAGCGGCCAAGCACAGAGTTAATACAGAGTAAATAATATTATACATCACAAATTGCCCTGTGGCACTGCGATTACTGAAGATTCGCGCGAACACTGCGCTGACACAGGAATATTTATCAAGGCATAACGAGAATCTGCAGCCAACCCGTCGCCACGAACGCAACATCGCTCACCTTGGCGCGTGCTGGGGGGGGCGTGCGGAGGTCTGGGTTCGGTATCGGGCCGCCGTGCTCGAAGTACAAGTTCCTCTTTAGGTTGATCACCACCCGACCCTTCTTCGCAGTGGTGACGGCTTGTGAGCGGCCTCCATGATTATCGTCTTCTTTCGGCTACAGCATGTGCCGATGGATACGCCAGGAAGAAAGCATATTAATACATGGGTGGGCAAAATGCGGCATCATCTGTCCTGTTCGACACAAGAAGGCCTTCGGCATGGCATGGAGCCATCTGAGCTCACACAGGCGTTCGCACGTTTGCGCCATCTTCACGACCTTCACTTATGCTGGAACGCCAAGCGAAACGATTGCTTCACAGCGCATGGGTGCATATGCCGCTAACGCAAACCTAGAAGGAGAGGCTGTTCACGCGTCGAAACGCACACGGACCTGGACGGGGGTCTTGGCTGTGGCCGCCGCCCCGTTGCCCTGCAGGTGCACCTTCTGGGCCGTAGCCGGACCTGCCTTGGCTGTGCTCCCGGGTGTGGGGCGTTTACCCAGCGCCGAAGGCTTTGCAGCCGAGGCAGATCCCGGCGTAGAAGCGTGCTGCGCCACAGCCCCATCATCCTTAAGCGGCTCCTGATGTGCTGGCCCCGGGGACTTCTTCTGCTTGGTGGGCTCGTGCGCCGCAGAGGCAGCCGCATCGAGGGAAGCGCTCAGCTTGGCAACGGAGGCGCGCAGAGCTGCCTTTTGACCCGATGTTGGCTCCTTGTGCGAGGCACCTGCACCGTGACCGTTGGCACCTGCCTTGGCAGACGCTGGCGCCGAGTTCACTGGGCTCGTCGCAGCCTCCAGAGCGCTGCCGCCATTCTGCGCCATCTCCACGGCACGCTGCTTCTTGCTCCCCAGCTTCTTCCGCTTCGCTGTCTCTGGCTTTTGATTCCCATTTCCCGCCGGAGAGCCTTCGTGCTGCCCAGGCTCGGGCGCTGTGGAGTCGGACGCCTTCGCCTTACGCTTCAGCTCCACTGCCGGGGCATCCTCCATTTGCACATGACTCAAATCGCCATTGGCGGCCGAAGGCTGCACAGCCGCAGCTATGGCTTCAGCCGCGGCTGCTGCTGCCACCGCCGCCCGCTTCGCTTTCAGCTGCTTCTTCGTGGCCTTCGGCGTTTCCTCATTCCGCGACGACGGACCAGCCTGAGCGCCTGCATCCATTGAGCCATGCCGGGCCCGATAAACAAACCTTGCTGGCAATTAATTGTCGCAATGCGTTCGCGGCTGCGATGGCCACCATCGCACAGGGAGACCGCCGGAATGCAACGGTTCCTTTGCCCACGTTCCGACGACGAAGCGCTCACCCATGCAAGCCCCCGAGTCGTACCCAAGCTGCCAAGCCAACATGAACCAGCGCAACCAGTGGCATGTAGAGCTTAAATGCAGCCTCCCAACGCAACACATGGGAAGGAGCCCGCGAGCTCCCGGAAGCGAGATGACCTACCTTCGTCTACACGCTGGCGTTTCCGCTGAAGCTTTTCCAGTGCGCCGGACAGGTCATACAGGACCTGCCGATTGCGCGCACGTGTGCCTGGTGAAGCTCCCCGCTCGAACAGCTGGGCAGCTAGTGCTGTCACATCGAGCTTCTGTAGGTAGTGCGAATCGTCCGTTGGGCTCGCGAGCTCCGAGAGTAGCGTATCGAAGAGGCCCTCCCTGGTAAATTGAGAGGCGTCCCCATTTGAGGAAATGCAAGGGACAGGATCAGGTGGGAGCGCATCGGCATGGCCTGGCAACTTGCGCAGCGAGTGCTCCATGAACCATAGGCATGCCGTCGCTGCATTTTTAGGCTGCCGTTGGGAGGGTTCGTTGATCGATGTGTTGTCTGCCCGTTGCAACCCTCGCGGAAATCCCTTGCCGCACCTACCTGCAAAAGCCATTCCCGCCACCTAGACCCGTGAACCACGTGCCACGATCAAAGACAGTCCTCCGTATTCCGGCCGTTATAACCATCTCCATCACACCAAATGCCATCGGCTACTACCAACTCCCAACGCAATATTGTCGATTAATACCTTTCCAAAATCAACCCAAGGCGGACACCAACAACACACGCTGATCACCGCCCCTTCTGCCCTCACCCGATACGCTGCAAGACCGCCTGCTCCCCGTTCTGCAATGCCGCCATAAAGGGCGACAGCAAGGACGAAAGTGCACTGGCCGGGATCGACTTGCCGTCCGCCACTCCTCGAAGCTCGTCCAGGAACACGTCACTGCAGTGGTACGCAACGCCCGCGGCCGGTAAGGTATCGCCCGGCAGCACAACATGGTGGTGCAGGTAGTCCGCGTAGCGCTGGACGAGGTCCGCGTGCCTGCGATCCCCCCAGGACAGTGTATTTAGCCTCAGCTGCCGCATCCGAATATGTATTGTCAAATCCGCCATCGAGGCGTGTGAAGGTTCCAGACGCACGCACGATTAAGTTATGGGTTATGATTCTCGGAGTACGAACCACGTGCCATATGGAGAAAGTGCAGGACAAGCACTAAGGTGGTCAGGAAAGATGTAAACGAGTAGTGCCCAAGAGGCCCTCGTAGCCCCCGGCTTTAATCCGTATGCCAGGATTGCAACAGCGTGTCTACAACCAGTTCTCTCTAACCTCAGTACGATTCGACTTCCGATGCCCCTAGCTCGACCGGCGCCCGCCGCCCCCTGATACACGACGACCATGCAGTGAATGTGGAAATTTTCCACTCTGTGGAATGCACGCACCATTTCGACGCCTTGAGACACCCAAGCATATGGTGGATGAATTTCCGGATCAGCATCAGGAACTTGTCCATGCGCAACCGATCAATACCAAACCATTCGCGCCGCATTGTGGCCATGAAAGCTGTAAAGTACAGGTATGCCGACTGTGCACGTCCATGCGATGCAAAGTGGCGGTGCAACAAGCAGGGAAGGGGCGGGGGAACCAGTACGAAGTTAATATTGTGCATGTCAATATGGCGACACGAATACCTCTGCCGCGCCTCCCGACCTTGAATGCTGGAAACTGTTCCAAACCCTCCTCCAGGAGCTGCAGTTCGTTGCAGAGTCGGTTAACGACCCCCCCTCTAAATTGGTAAATGTGAGCAGTTGCCAAAGCCTTACGTTCATAGCTGCGTTGATGGAAAGCCGTTCAACTGAAAGGCATACCTGCTCCGGAAGTTGAGTCAAGATGGCCGCCAGCCGCTCCGCTAGCTCAGCCTGCACACAGGCATAATAAGAATAACTGAATTGCTATATAAGAAAATATTCTGTGGGTTTCATGTGGCAAAAAGCCCCAACCACCTGCGGCGGCCGGTCTAACCTGGACTGGCGCTTTATCGGAGTGCCAGAAGCAGTAGAAAAGGCCTTTCCAAATCTTCGACATGTCAGACTCATGCAAGTCCGTTTTACGAAGCAACCAAAATTTCAAGGCGTGCAGTCCCTTCTCGCGCGTCTGATAATCGGTGCTTGCCAACGCTCTCGCAAATTTGGAGTGGCCCGGGTGCCCATCGCTAGGTAGGGACTCCAGCAAAGGTTTCTCCCGCTTCTGCTTTTTCGCCTTGGGCGGCTGGCCTAGTTGCGGTGAAGTCATAGCCCTTTGATTGCCTGCGACGACTTAAAGCCGCTGGCCAGACCAGCGTCAACGCAACTAGTGTGCTACAAGTTCCTTTGCAGGACTACAGTCGCCTAAACTGGTCAATAGACATTGTGCCGTCGTGCAAAAGGTTGGGCATTGTTCCCGTACCCCGTCGTACAACTGAGCGGGAACCGATTTACCGGTGCCATGCTGCCATCAGTTCTATTCTTTTACCTCATTCGTCAGCTCACCACTTTCCCTATTGTGGGATTCGTTGCGTTAGAAGCTGGACGTTACGCACATTGCAGTTTCGGAATTACCTGCGGAATTACCATCTGTAGCCTCGCATCCGACCTCTTGGAATTCCCGAATAATTTCAAACGCATCACGCGCATGACGCGCAACACGCTTAATTTTGACCCAATCCTTGCCATAGCGTAGCTGTTCGGCCCTCCGCCCCTACCTCGCATACGCGATAGAGCATGTCACTTGCAGCAACCGCTACCCCCAAAACCTGCTGTTGCTAAGCTAAGAGGACCGATTAATTGGCTCTGTTGTCAGTTAAATTTATAACATTTCTGCCCAGCTTTAACAGCCTAGTAGTGCACCTGAAACCACCCTTAAACTGTGTCTTTCAACCATACCGAGGGAATGGATGCCACCTAACGAAGGCCTACACCGCCTGCACCATACTCCTAGCAGGAACCCCAGGCCGCCGCTTCATGTAATCTTAATGAAACTACCACGCCTAGGGGCTGCACACTACCACAACAGCAAGTTGCTAGGGACCTAAATAGACTGCTACACCCAACAAACGGACACGTGAAATGCCATGAATGCAGCTATTACCACCAATGTATCAAACCCGTCCCGTCGACACAGCTAGATCATGAAACAGCAGCTCCAGGCCCTCCTGCAAGCCAGCCCGCGGACAGCGCGCAACAAACGCTTCCGAGGACCAGATGGTGCAACAGCGCGAACGGAACGCGATCGCGATGGCTAAGCGCTCCAAAACACTACGACGCGGTCATACACACAAACCGATTATTTTCGTGCACGTATGTACAACACCCCCCTCCGCCTGCTGTCCGAAACCACAAGTGAGAAGCTGCGCTCCTTCGCTTCCTCCTGCGGACTTCTTCCCCACTGCAGATAGATAATGCATCTCTTACAATTCCATTCTGGTCGAATCTGTTGGTTCAGATGGCCAAACAAAGGTCAGTCAAACGTCGCCTTGACGACTCCATTCTCCTCAACCTTTTCCGGCTTCTTGCGCGGCGCCTCCACGGGCCGCCAATGTCGTGCGAAGGTTTGGGAAATCAGCAGGGGAAACAGGATCGTTGCGTCGCCGCACACCTGGGAAACGGGCACACCAGGAGAGGCAACCATTCAGGCTTATGCCGGTAACCTCAATAATACCAAGCTGAAAAAACAGCAAGCCTTGAAGCAGCGCAGGTACTACTATTTTGCGAGTTGAGTGCTACTGTCAACGAAAGTTCGCATCTCGATGAACTATACACCCAACCCCAAGATTGGTACCCCACCAGACTGCACCGTGCTAATGGGGAAGATGGCAACGCATCCCCCAGTCAGTACGCACAAATCCGTATACGGGAAACAAGGCAGACTGGATTTGGTCCGCACCTTAACCGGCTTTGCGTCCATGCGAATTTTGCCCCACGACACCGCCTCGTCGGGCCGCGCGCCGCTATCGCTGCCATCAAACTCTTGCGCTGTGTTGATATAAACCGCAAAATCGGCACCGTTGCGCATCAGGTTCGCGTTGCAGACGTGATGCTTGGGCACGCCTGAAGGGACCGCAGATGGCAAACCACGCCTGACTTCAACGGGGGTTTAGGGTTCAGGGACCAAGGCGTCATATAGAGTCACCTCAAAATTTGAAGGTTGCTGCCGTGAGGCTCGAGATGGTCTGATGCAACCCAACCCCAAGATTTTCTGTCTCGCAATATTTCATAACCCGTACTGCCGCCTACCACCTAAGCAGCTAAAAACAGATTTACTTGCTTGCAATACCCTTCTTTACGGCACAGAAGGCAAGCCCTGTAATATCCGACGACGTAAAAGCAGAGGCAAAAGCATGCAATGCCCGGGGCGTCCGCCAAACGCACCTCCTCCGAGGATAATCATGCCGGTTTTCCGCGGTGATGCGCGCATGGCAAGGTCGTTGATGCGCCGAATGTCCTCCACCACGTCCACCCTGTTCGTTCGAATAAAAAACAGCGTGGGACAGGGATGTGTGGCGGCTCCTGTGCAGCCAAAAAGGTGCGACCCAGACCGGCCGAGGCAGCGCCCGCAGATTTTGCTCGTCTCGCGCCCACCTTAGCCCAGGGCTCTTGTAGGAGTGGAAGAAGAGCATGTCTCCGATTGAGCCGTCGGTGATGGCAGGACAGAAGACGGGGATGCTGTTTTTATGTGCCCAGTAGTAAATCGAGTCCGGGTGGTTGATCTCTTTTCCAAGCCTGTCACGGAAGCAGCGGACCGGCGGGTGCACATGGCGTGTTGAGTTCTTACTCTTCCGAGTCGCCGACACGGCGTCGGCATATGCCAATGGAAGACCATTCCGTCAAGCGCAGCATGCCCGAATAGCACAGCTTAACCTAAGAGCCTGGTCAACGATTAGAGTCGACGACAATTTGGCGGAGACATCAGGCTCCGTGCAAGGTTGATCCCACGTCTAGTTAATTTCGTTGAAGTCCCATGCAGAAAAACCATCATTGGATCAACCAAGGCAAATGACCAGAAGATGCCGACCTGTCGATGAGCTTGGACGGCGTCCAGTTCACCCCCTGCTCGTTTTGCTCCTGCGCACGCGGTAAGGCAAAGTTCGCACAGACTGCTAGAGCCCAAACGCCCAACTTAAAGAGCCTAGCAGCAAAGTCCTGTGCGCTTTCAGGTACGATTGCGAGTTTTTAATGGACTCAAAAACCGCAACCGTGTCCTTCCATCGTCACACTCTCTTCCGTCCATTGATGCTGCACCCGCACAGCAGACCAAACCACCGGTTGCATCGCCCGGCACAAACAGGTGTCACCGGGGCCTCGTGATAACGAGGACTACCCAATGTCTAGAGCCGCCACACCTTGAGCACGGCATCCAGAATGGGTATGATCCAGTCTTCAAATTTGCAGTAATTGGAGTTCGGGACCAGCATGTTGCCGATGCGGTTGAGACCCTTCATTCGCAGCTCAGCGCCTGCGAAACATGCAGGAACCCAGCAGTTGCCGTACTGGCTTCACGTCCCCAACGTCCTCAGGGGGACTCGTTCCTGGATGCGCACTCAGAATGGTATGATGATCCATGTGCCCCGTGCTCACTGCGCGGCATCCTCTCGTTGCAAGCCTTCTGGACTGCTAGGAAGATACATTTCTGTTGCTGATACTATTGATTCCCCTCCTAAAACGTGACACGAGCTGGCTGGGTTTCCCGTATTCCAAAGACTAGGACGGGCTCACCCTGTTGCACCCTGCCTGCGCTTGAGACTCTAGCAATTCGTGGCATGCCATGCGCCGACACCCGGGAGCCGACCTTGCGCGGCCATACCATACCAGCCCTCCCGCCATGCCACAGGACTGCCACATACTTTACTCCATGCTACGTATGGTCCCTTACCTTTAAGTTGAAAGTCCCCCAGGTATGTATGTCCCATGCACTTGATGAAATCCTCCTCGATGCCTCCTGCCGTCGTTACCAACACGTCTACCATGCGGTTCTGCACCAGGTATCTGCAGTCACGGCACGTTCAAAGGGCAGGCGCCACGCATGGACAGCTCGACGGATTGCGATAGACGTGTTATGGGAGCAAGACCGTCATGAAGCGAGGGCGCGAAAACGGCATTGGCTAGCGAGGCAGTCAATTAAACGTTGCATAAAGCAGAATCGTGGCTTGGTCTCTACGTGGAGCAAGGTCAGGTGGTTGCGAGTAGGAGGAGGATCTTCAGACGTGCCAAGGGATCAGCTGTTGCAGGGTGATAGACCGCGGGGCCATCGCTTACAAGACGCCGCAGATTGCAAAACCATGCGCATGCTTTGGCATTCGTTGACTAGTCACGATGCCACGGATGATGTGGGCATCGCAACTGGTATATGATGCGATCAGATCAGCCGAACCCACGGCCCCAGTGTAACAAGCATTTTTAGACATCCATGAGGGTTATGCATCAGCGAAAGTAATCCATTTGTTGGCCATCTGCTCATCAACTAGCTTAAACAAAGGCTGGACTGCCGTCTAATGGATGAGATGTTGCGAGGTTATAGACCGCCGAGCCATGTTGGGAGACAAGGCGGATTGCAAAATCAAGCGGATGCTATCGCATCGTTGACTAGTTACTACGCCACTGCTGCAGGCGTCGCAGCTGGTATTTGACGCTGTGTTGCACGGGGGGCGGGAGGACGGCTCCAATTTCGCATCAGCTTCCACCACGCATTCACAAGGACTCCCTGTTGCTGTCCTTTCTTGCCGCAATCCGCGTGGCTGACCTGATGTGCTCGCGAACTCCAGCAGAGGTCAGGTTCGAGGTGAAGCCCAGGAAAATGAGGCACCGGGTGGACGCGCGGAACTCCGGGTCTGTGTGATCTGGGTCGGTGGACGGACCCACTGGCTCATCACTTAGACGCCAGTTGATCTGCGGGAGAAGCCACAAAGTCGCGTGGAGTTCCTAAGCTGCCATGGGTGTGTTGTTTCCAGGTGCCGCAGTTCAGCAGCGGGGCGTTGAAGAGTAGGGTCTGCGTGACCCGAAGGCAACGTGAGACGCAGCAAACGCGCGAGGAAAACACTGGAAAGGAAAAGGGAGAATGCCGCCCGATGTACCCGCCCTCCTTAGTGGGCGGCTGCGCACGGCAATTTTACGCTAGCGCAGAACGTGTGCGGCTGCACTCCGAACGCACCCGCCCGTACAGCCAACGGTCGAGGCATCTTTGGGGCACAGTCATAACTGTTTTTGCATCCCAGCATACAAGGAAAGCCATGCCAAACGGCGGGCCAACCGAGAATTAAAGGATGCCAATCCAAGACACTGTTCAAATTACGTGCATGCAATTCCTATTCCGACATGGAACTCCTTGACGCAAAGAATCGCACCATGCGGTTGACCTCAAGGATAGCCTGCCCAAACGAGGTTGCCTGAAATCCCGTAGTTAGCATAGCCTCCATAATGCCATCGAGCTCCCGGCCATTCGTGAAGTCATAGCCTCTCACGATGGGTGTGTCGGGCAAAGTTTCCGTAGGCACCAGCACAGCCTGTCGCAGATGCCGAATTAGAGAAATCTATGTCCTGTCCGAGATCATGGTAGACGGCTCCATGCCCTTACACGCTTGGGGCCAAGAAACCGAAAGCCAGCCGCCAGGCAGCTGTCGCACCTCGGCTGCCGGTATGTCGGCGCAGCCCTGATGAGCCATACCCGCCCCTTCCTGACTTAATAAAATATTACAATAGGCTCAAAACCAGAGCACGTAAGACTATAAAATTACAAAATCAGGACGAAGGTCAACATCAGGATGATTTCGACCAGTGCTAGTTAGTTCGTGTGTCAGATGCTATTCATCCTCCTCTGAAGCGCAGCAATCCTCATGCACGCTCTTAAACAAAACTTGCTTCGGAGCGGTAGCTGTACAGCACACTTCGGTACGACCTTTATCACGACCGGTGAAGAACTCAGACGGCATTGCCGTTTATATAGCGGTGATGATACATGAAGAAAACCATCGCTTCAAAAATCTTGTTCTGCCGGGAAAAGATTTACTTCAAGTCGCCCTCGGGGTGTGCGCCTTCCGGGTTCACTGCAAGGCCGAGGTAGAAAGGCAAGCAAATAAAGCCATTTCACGCGTAGTGCATGTTGAAGTACAATAAAAGAACACAAGCCTGTTACACGAGCACAACCGGAAGGCCAAAGTATGAAGTGGGGTTGCCTCACGTTCTGAAGCTCTTCCTCAGCAAACTTCCGAGTCATGTCCAGGTATCTCTCGTGGTGCTCGCGCATGAACTGCTCAAACGACCAATCCTCGGCGAGAAGTAGTTGCCTGGGCAGCAGCAGCAGTGACAGAACGCAACGGATCAGGAGCTCACAACTCACGTCGGCTAACCCAGGCATCAAGGTGCTTGCTCCGCCATTCTTCATAGCTCCAAGCCTCTATGTTCAGAGCGTAACTGCACAAGTGCACCATAATATTGCTGAATGAGCTCAGCTTGGGCCTTGGGCGGTTGTGCATACACTGCCCGGACTGAGGCCGTCGTTGCCCGTACACCCGGTCTCCATGCATCCCTCCAAAGCTCCAATCAATTCACCTGTATTGGTCCTTCCAGACGTAGACGTCCGCCTTGATTTCAGACCCATCCTACAAGAAGGGAGACAGGAACAGAATTGAGGGCTAGTAGCTCGTGATGCCACGGGCTGGGGAGGCTGTTCGCTGAATGGTCATGTGTGAGAAATTCAGACTGGAAGACGCACAGTTTCACACAGGTAAAGGCATACCTCAAGGACTGGCATCACTGTCGCTCTGTAATACTCCTCACTCTCATAGACTGCACAGGAGGGCGCAGGTGAGCATTTGGCAGCGGTAGTGTGCTATGCACAAGTCACAAGCTTGGAGGCTTGTTGGGGATTGCAGATCAGGTTATATATTGGTAACAGAGCTACAACGTTTGACACATCAACCCTGTGCCGGGTTTGGTGGCCGTACCTAGTAATGCAACCATTGTATCCGGTCTCCTATTATGCCCAGAAAGTTGTATATCCTTGATAATGCCACAAATGTACTTAGCCACTGCTCCAACCCTGTTGTGAGCATTTATTGCTCCAGAGCATTGTCTTCATCGTCAAGCCTTGCAATCCTTGGGAACCCATCACCCAACGGAGAAAATCGTAGCCCTGCCACTCACCATCTAGGACTTCAAGCTCCTTGTCGGAGAGATCCAGAAGAACCTATGCATTTGGTGGGATGTATCAACCCAAGGCAGGCACGTGTGCCATGGAACGTCCCTTACCTTGCCTTCTACCTTTGACTCTGCCGTTGATGGCACAATTGCAGGAAATACTTGACCTTTCACTTTATAGCGAGTGTATCCCTTCAATGCGGCGGGTTTCGAGGTTGGGACGCGCTTGATGAGTACCTTGACGACCTCATCGGCCATAAGGGTCCCATAGACAAACGCGTTTCCGGGCATGATTATTGGCTACAGATGTATTTAGGATTGAAACAAGAAGACTAGGTCAGCTTCTCTGTCTAGCTGCGGTCAGGGTTTATCACAAGTATATGAATGCTTCAGAAACAAAACACGCTTCTAATATGTCTATTAAAATGTCTTACTGCGCAACCAACAGAACTGACCGAGTATAGCATCCCTTTATGACGGTCCGTCCAAGTACATAACCGCCAACGAACTTGAAAGACTTCGTGTCCCTGCTCCGTGGTGCTGACCCATCCAAGGCTGGGACTCCACAAACCAAGCCCAGATTACATTCCCCCGACGCAAACAACTAAAGGAGTGCCTTTTTAACTCGTGACGACACGAACCATGTGTAAGGCAAGATGCGGCATCTCGCTGCCGGCATTGTCGTGCCTCATCATATTCCTGACCACCTTTAGCCTGCTGATTCACGTCGATGCGCAAACTCAGTCCCCAACCGAGGCAGAGTTAGGTCTTCCTCCATGGCTTCGCGGGCTCGTCTCGCCATCCAAAGCCGCACCCTTTGTGTCCCCACTTTCCGAAACGCCTGACGACTCCTTAGCTGCACTGACAATGGCATTCCCGGCATGGTTGGCTCTGGAGGAGGATACCGTGACCGGGACTGGTAAGAGCCGCATGCCCAACCCAACCCCGACCCTGCAGCAGCAGCGGGTTGCAAACTGGCAAACGAACTGGCGGGTTCTTAAGACTGAAGCAAACGGGAACCTTGCCCCCCAAGATTTTCATATCCGTTTGAACTCTGCGAATGAGGCCTGCAAACGAGGCATTTGTGCTATGTGGCGCATGGTTCCCCGAGCTAACGTCCTAACAGGACAATTACGATTCTGAACATCCCCCGTACAGTTATGAGCTAATAGCACCTTTGAGCTAACAACACCATCCCCCATGGGACAGAGCCGTAGTAAGCCCTTGCGCAACGCTTCTACGGAAACACTGTGTCACGGCGCTGTGGTGCGGTGCGGTATTGCGCTGTGGTGTATATGGTGCAGGCACGGCCGGCGGCACATCCCGGACAGCCACTAGCGGCACCTGGCTGGGAGACCTCCTTTCTGAGTCACCCCCGCTGCTATCGGAGCCGGGGGAGCTGGAAAGCCTGGAAAACATCCGTTCAGCACAGCGGCTGGAGGACGCCGTCGCCGGCTTCCTACGCGGCTTATCAGCGACCCGTATGCGTGCACCCGCAGCCGCGGCAGCGGCGGGGAACAGCGGCGGCGGAGGCGGCGCAGCAGCCGCTGCCAGTCCTACAGAAGATGAAGAAGAAGGCAGCCGCCAGTCCACCGCCGCTGGTACTGCCGCCGACGCCGCTGCTGGAGTGACTCAATTACGTCAGTGGCTCGACACAGAGCTGGATAAGCTGGAGGCCTTTTTACAGGATTGGGGAACAAATGCCAGGCACACGGCAGCGGCAGGCGGCGGCAGCGGCAGAGGTAGAGCTGACGGAGGCGTTACCAGTAGTGCTTGGCGGCCCGAACAAGGTGGTGATAGGGGGCCGCAGGCCGGCGATTTGGCGGCAGCTCTGGGCCATCCTCTGGCGGACGGTCTGGCAGAATGGCTGCAACACGCCGCCAACCACCCGCTGACGCTGCGACGTGATGGCGATGGCGATGGGGAAAGGAGCAGCAGCAATCATGTAGGGCATCAAGCATCGCCGGCCGCGGCAGCGGCGGCGTCTCCGCCGCCACTGGCCGGCGCCAGCGACCCCGGCGGATGGCTGTCAGATGCAGAACCTGGCGCTGAGCTGGGTTCCTCCGCTGCTGCCTCCCCGGCTGTCACTTTCGAAGCTGGTGTGGACCAGGGGGCTCAGTTCCGGGAAGCTCCCCCAGGCGACGGCGGTAACGGTGGTGGCAGTGAAGCTGGTGGTGGCGCGGATAGGGAGGATGGGCGGGTAGCAGGTCGTCGACGGCTTCAGCAGAACGGTAATGGAGGTGGAGGCGGGAATGGCGGTGGCAATGGCGACGGCGGTGGGAATAACGGAGAAGGCAGAGGTGGAGGCGGAGGCGGAGGTGGCCGTGGACGGGGAGGCGCCTCTGCCACGTTGATGGGCTCCAACGGCATCCAGGGCTTCAACAGGGGGAATGTACGACCCGTGCGGGTAAGGCTGCGGAAGGGGGAAGGATTAACGACCACAGCCATTCGAAGGGCTCAGGACGAGTGTTTGTATGCTCAAGGGAAAATGCCCGTAACCCAAATCGGACCTGGATCCTGACCAGGCCCAGACCTGGATCCTAACGCGTCCGGATCCGAGTCAGATTCTAGCCCCAGGATCGACGCTGTATGGGTAGCGCGTTTCCCATCCTTTCACGTGCACATGTGCGCAAGATATCGCCCTCCTCCCAAACTCCCCGCCTTCAGCAGTTCTGCTAACTGTATTCCGTTACAGTTAGTTACCATTACCTGCCAGCTTTTTGTTGGGTTCTCATGGGTGGGAAGTTGGAGGCGATACAGCGATCTTCGCAAGCAACGCCGTTTCCCTTGATCGCCCGACCTCCATCCATCTCCTCTGTCCCATCCCCCGGGCCCCCGGTCGTCTCGCGGCACCCGACTCCGGTAGGATGCCCTGGCCGGAGCGCTGTTGAACAACCCCAGGCCGAGAACTCGGGCCACGGAGCGGCTGCTGCAGCTGTTCCACATCGTGCAGCGAGATATTCAGGAGGGCAACGTGCCTTTCACCGGGGGCAGAGTGCAGCGACGGTGGGTCCAACCTCCCGCCATTTGTGGTTCGGGAAACATGCTGACGTGTGCGGGGGAGGACTTGCGGGAGGAAGTCAAATCCGAGATCTTGGTTATTTGGAGCCAGCCATCCTCTTAGACGCACTAACCTCGTCACCCAAAGCAACTTCTTCCTTGCAACACCCTTGCAATGCCTTCCACACACACACCCTCCTGCCCCCCTTCTCCCCTCCTTCCTGCTCTCTCCCCTTGGTCCAGGTGTGAGAGCCAGCCCTACGTCTTCAAGCCCCGTGTCCCCAACGCTCTCCCGCAGCAGTACGTGGGCCCCTCCTTCTACATCACCCGCACCACGGGCAACTGCGTGCTGCGACCCGACATCAGCGCACTGGGTATCAATACATGGACGGTGCTGTACGAGAGGCTTGCGTGCCTGAGCCCCTCCCGGCAATATCTTCTGGTGGGCTACGGGCGTCTGGCAGTGGCTGGAAGATCCGGAGTGGCTGGAATATCCGGAGTGTATAAGACTGGTGGAATGGTTTTATAGGGGCGGAGCTGCGGGGCACTGGGCTGTTGGGCGATGTAGGGGTGCACAGCCCGGGCGACGGACGGCCCTACAGCGACCGACCCGCCCTCCAACCCGTTCCGGAGGGCGGACGTCGGCAGCCTGTTGTGCTAAATGCTGCTTGTATATGATTGTCTCTCCACCCGGCCCCCGGGGTCCCCACCTCCACTCCCACTCCCACTTCCCCGCCCACCCCCTGTTCAGCTCCCCGCAGTTTACAGTGGACCCGGGGACCAGCCGGAAAGCTTTCAGTGCCCCCAGTGTGTCCCCGTCCTGCGCCTGGGTCGCCAAGTGGATATCAGCTTCTCGCCCGGAGGTCAAGGAACCCTTAGGTGGGTTTGCTGGGCCGGGTGCGTGGAACCGCGGGGCGTGTTGCGAGTGTACGGCGGGTACGGGTGCACGGCAGCGGGATGTTTGTGGCCCGCCCTTAGACACGGCGTTTCAGGCTTGAGATAAACTGATCCGCAGTAGACGGGGAAAAGTGGGTAAAGAGATATGTAGAGGTGCGTGCGTGGGTGTTTGGGTGCGTCGTGGGGGCCGTGTTCTAGGGTTTGGAAGGTTGGTGGGGAAGAGACCCACACGGGGAATGGAGGGTGTTAGCGAACATCTAGGCAGCTAGCTCCGAAACCCGTACCACTATGTACAATGCACAGGTTATCTGGCTGATACAAGTCTTAATTGCCGTTATTGCCGTTATTTTCCCCCTTGGGTCGGTAGAGCTAGAGTTGGATTTCGATGGTATTGCATTTGGGTTGGAAAACTCTAAGACCTCTCAACCCGCGGTGGCCGCGTGGGGGAGCCGTGCAGGTTCCCTGACCGCCGCGCCTTCCTGACCGCCCTAAGGTCCAATACGAGCTTTATGAGGCTGAGTGGAGGAGCCGCCAGCAGGGCCAGGAAGTGGATGGTTAGGAACATGAAGACCTACCTCAAGGTACAGCCACATGGAAGGGGGGTTGGGGGGTAGTCGATGGCTCCAAGGGGGGGGGGACAACCGAAAATGGCAGCGGAGCACAGTGGAAATTCGGTTTGGAGGCTTTAGGAGTCAGGGTTTCACATTTTTTTGTTTTGAATTCTCTGAAGGGGTTTGAGCTTCGGAGGTTATGGGTCTGGCCAGCTGGAATGGGATGAGAGGGAGTTCTCAGTGGGCTTGCATTAGATCCTTTGGCTGGCCACAGGCTTGTGGAGATGTGCTGGTGTTCAGAGATCAAACCACCCTAAGAAGCGCTGGTAACGGACATCCCGCCCATCTCCGCCAGCCTTATTGAAGAGCATCTAAATATGTACAAGATCATGTCGCCGCTCTTTGGAGATAGACATGCTGCTGCTGACGACCGGGACGCAAATAAAACCCATAAACCCATAAACCGATAAACGTGCATATCGCGCCAAACGTGTGCCCTCCTACCCCCACCAACAACCCCGCCGAGGGCGTCCGCCAGGAAGTCCGGCAATCCGGGGCTATGGCACAGTTGGTACAGCAGGCGGATGTCGGGGCTTTCGCCAAGGCAGCGGCGCAGCTGCTTGCCGCCTCGGCAGATGCCGATGGCAGCGGCGGCCACGGCAGTGACAGCGGCGGCAGTTTTCGCCATTCCGATCTGACGGACAAGATGGTGACGGACATGCTACAGGGTGGGGTACGTAGTCATCGGCCGAGTGGTGGTGCACAGGGAGGCCTGGAGTTCATGGCGGCGGCGGCGACGCCGCTGGCGGCGCAGAGGCTGCCATCAAATGTGGATGGGGCAGCGGCGGAGGCCGTACGGCGCCATGCCGAAGTTCAGTTGCGTGAGCTGGAACGGCTGTTGCGTCTAGTGCCATAGCAGCCTATATGACCATGTGGGTATCATGACAGCAGACCACCTGATGCGCAATACTTTGTGGGAGGGTCCTAATGCTTCGGTTCGCATCTGCAGCAGCCGCAGCAGCCAACGTGATAATCGATGTCTCGACCAAATTTGCGATGTTGTGCGGCATCATGTTGTGCTGCCGTGTGCGCAAGCAGCGCAGCGAACGACCCGGGTTGGAGGCAAACGGGCGCTATGGCGGCGGCACAGGAGCATATGCACAAAGCACAACTGAGCACTTTGGGGCGCATAATGTTTAGTTGTTTGGCCATTAGTCTGTGTGAATACGATAGGTATACAGGCCCGACAGCTCCATGACCTTGGTCGGGCTCATCGGCCGCAGTTTCCAATTTTTCCTGAAGAGAACGAGTCTCGGTCCCGGATCCAGAGCTGGAACAGCAACGGAGCCAACGGTTGACCTAGTATTCAGCACTCTAGTGCTCCTAACTAAATATATCTTCATAACGCCGTCTACATTCATTGCAGCTGTAAATGTTATTTCCTGTTTGTACTACATGTTTACTGATCAGGACCACGACCGTTTGGTGCTAAGCGAGCTGCTCCCTTCGGAAGAAAGGCAAGAACAGAGAACGAATCCGAAATCCGTTCATGAATATTGCCATGATCAAAGCCATGCAACAGTTACTCGCTTCTACCTGAAAAGCTCTTTTGATAGAGCTTCCAAGAATACCAGTCGCACAGGGACTTCCTCCTCCTGCTCCTCCTCATTATCACCGTCCTCGAGATCTAGCGATGACGAGCAAATCGCGGCCAAAAGCAAGGGAGCACAGAAGCGCCGCACGGTTGCGACAGACAGCTGCGGAGACCTTGTGTTGCCGCGCCCGCGCCGGCGCCGGCGCCTGCCGCGGCGCTACATCAGCATCCGCCACACGACCCTCCCAACACCGCTTGCTGACGTAGGATTGCAGGTGGGCGGCCCTTATCCCTTCCCGGCAGGTGGGCAGGCAACCTGCTCGCTCACAAACTGCCACAGGTATACCCAAGCCTCAGTAACGCTACTTCGCTGGTTCGCAAGCTACAAGTTCGGCACAAGTGCTGGGGCCGTCCCTCGGATTCAATTTGGGGGGGGACGGGGGTTGAGGACGGTTAATTGCAGTTGGTGTGGCACCTACTGAGGACGTTGCCCTCCTCTCCCGCGCGATCATCAACCCTTACGAAACCTTTGATAACCAGACGCCCAGGTAGCGGCGCACGCTGTTGGTTACAAGCACAAACACCATTAGGTGACTCCCCATTGCCGTTACGTCTTATAGGCAAGAGGGAAGGCACTTAGACCATGATATGTGTTCATGTTTGTGTGTATATATGTATACCTCAGCTGGCAAGCCAGGCACGGATATTGCGCCCGGATAGCCTCTAAACATTTACCGCCGTGGCTTAGCCTCTCGCAGCCAGTCGCGTGACGGTGGAGGGTTCTCGGAGCTGGGGCTGCCGGGCGGCCGTGCCACGGGCAGGCAGCTCCACTCCACTCCATTTCCCCCCCCCCCAGTCCCTGGCGTAGTCGCCGTGCCACGGCCACGCCCGCGCCACGTCATGCAGTACACGGCATGTCAGTCTGTCGCCTCAAGGGGTCTCCGCGACCCAGATGCCAGTACCGCCCACCAATATCAGTACCCGGCAACGCACACGCCACCACCACAACAGCGTCGTCAATTTAAATGCATAATGTTTGCGTATAACACCAACATCAACAACATGAACCGCGGTTGTATATAACACCAACATCAACACACATACACACATACGTGTGCTATCATCGGCATTTCCCTCATTGCGGCATCGCGGCTCAGATCATCAACAACTTCACGTGCCGTACATTCAACAACACCCGCCTGTGGCTCCACACCCACACGTGATGATGTCTATGAACCCCCCCACATCCCCAACCAGAAGCCGCGGGAGGCCTCACGTTGCCATATGTGTGGATTTGCGGGCTGCATGTGCTGCTGTGGTGGCAGGTGTGGAGGGGGGCTTGCCTGCTGTGCGACTGGTTGCTGGCTCAACCGTCAACTAACAACCACCCATGCAATCGTCAGAACTCCCTGGGTTCCCCGGGCGCGCTGGTTCTGGAGCTGGGCGGCGGCGTGGGGCTGGTCGGCGTTGCCGCGGCCGCGGTCTGTCGCCATGCCGTCATCACTGACGTACATCAGGGTGCGCTGACGCTGGCGGCGGCGAACGTGAACGACAATGCGGAGCTCATTCGGGAGCTACGGCGGCGGCGGCGGCAGCAGCAGAATGGCCGCCGCCGCCGGCGATGGCGGCGTAGACCCCACGGCGATGAGGACAGCATCGTAGATGGCAGCTCTGTGGACAATGTTGATAAGGCCGATGATGGGCGAGAGAACGAAAAGGGGAGGGGACGACAAGGCAGCGGCGGTGGCGGCGGCGGCGGTGGAAGCGGCGCCGAGGGCCCTGTGTTGGTAGACCTGTGCCAAATGGATTGGTTTGATTTTCTTGCGTACGGTAGCGGCGGTGTTTCCGTCGAGGCAATTGTGCGGGCGCTGCGGGCGGACGCAGCGGACTCTCCAACAATGGAAACGACGGCGGCGGCAACGGCGGTGGCGGCGGCGGCAGCGGCCAATGAGGATCACCAGAAGAACGGAGTTGGTTGGGAATCGGCATTGGGGGCGGCCGGGGTCCTGGGGGATGAGCTGGGGGTTCGGGTGGCGTGCGGTGGCGGTGTGTCGAAGGTGCTAGACGCGGTGGCGACAGCGGAGTCGCTCTGCGTAGTCGCCGCCGATACATTGTACGATACCGTGCTGACGGAAGCATTCGTGAAGTGCGCCGCGGCGCTGATGTCGTACCACAGGTCTGTACGCTTACGGCCCCCCGTTGGGTTGTCGCAAGGGCCGGATCAGCGCTTCAGCAACAGCGCATCAAGACGGCGGAAGGTTGATGGTTCAGCCGACGGCTGCGGCAACATTGGCGGAATCGGCGACGCCGGTGGCGGCATCACGGAGCGAAACCCCCGGTTGATTGTCAGTTTGGAAAAGCGCATAAACTTTGTCGTAAAGGACCTGGCAGCAGCGGCGCCGGCGTTCGATGACTTCATGTCGTACGTGGTTTCGGATCCGATAGAAATAGAATCTGTGGCGGGCAATCCTCCAACCGGAGATGATGCGCACGCCGGGCACGATGAAACCGACGGCGGCACGGGCGGCGGCGGCACTGGTGCTGGCAGCGGCGCCGGCGGCTGCCGTGTTGGTACGGAGGATGGTGACAACCGGCGTTATGATGCTGGCGGCAGCGGTGTCACTGACGGCGGCGGCGGCGGTGACGCATGTGCTCGTAGAGTCATGAACGCAGTCGAAGGATCCTTGGGCTTCATGTCGGCGGAGAGGCCATCACAGCATGGAGAGGTGCGGGTGCCGCTGTTCCGAGGCCGACGTCTGGACGTGTCGTCTGTGCCGCAGGTAGGTAGGTAGGTAGGTAGGTGTTTTTGGAAGAGGTGCGCGGGCGGCGGGCAGGAAGCCATGCTACTATGGCGCTGCCCTTCGTCCTAGGAGTCCGCTTGTTGTGGCCAGGCCTTGGCCACATTGCTGCCACTTCCCACTACGTCCCTTCTTATCGAGATCGCCCACCCCCCACCCGTCCACACATCACCCATTCTCCCCATCATCCACTTAGGCTGTCACCAGGCTGTCACGACTCTGTCAAATTTGAAGCATCCAGTGCTGAACTTCTAAAAGCCGCTTTCGTGAGTTTCGTGTTCCAGGCATCACATGATGGCACACCGCCAACACTTGCCGAGGGTGGTGGCCACTCCCTAGCGATGCTGGCTCACCGGTCAACCCAACCCGCCCATGCCCTCTGCGCTCGTACTGTATATGCTGATGTACTACAGGTGCTGCAGTACGATCGATGCGAACAGCTGGAGCTGTGGGAGCTGACGCTGCTGTGAAGAGTTGGAGGGAGTCGAGGGGATAAAGGGGAGAGTGACTGAAGCAAAAATCCACCATGAGGTGTCGTTCGAAGCAACGCTCAGTCATTAAGTTGACCAATGCGATCGATTGAACTGTCCGGCGATAAGGAAATTGCGCAGCTTGTCTATCAAGGCTTATGCACCTCTAGGGTTTTGCCCATGCGATCATGATCACACAGATTATTGATTGAAGAAACATAATGCGTTTCGCATATTCAGAGGTACGAATTTAGACAGTGGCACGCTCAGGCGCAACTGCCGGCTCAGCGAGATCTATGTAGATCTCCGTCCGCACTAACCCCTGTGCGACTACAGTAACCACCAACGGTGAAAAATCCAAGAAAAGCCACTGACCAAAACGTGTCAATCGAATAACGACAGGAATTCCGTAAAGAGCCATATTTTATCGCAAAAGCAATGGCCACCACTAGCGGCAGAGCTTCACGCCAACATCATGTAATGCGAGACGTGAACTCTCGTACAACAACCAGAAAAGTATGCATCGAGCAACAACTAACTGTAACTGATCACTACAACGAATCATATCCTGATAATTCTCCTTGCAGTGCAGAATCATATCTGGGTACACTGCAGAAGTCTTCCACAGAGGGGATGGTCACGATGCCAGCTTGCTGTATCTGTTCACCGCAGAAGCAAACACCAGAGTGCCAAAGCCATCCCAAAGCTGAAGAAATAAGGGAACCCCTGCTTGCGAAATGTGCGCCTGAAGGAGCAGGACACGCGAAATGTGCTGCTGCAGCGGCAGGCGGCCCGCAGCAGGCGTGACATACACGCGTATCTAGGTGGAATTCTACCGTACTTCCAATATGCGTTTGAATCTTTCCTGTATATCCAACAAAAGTTATGATTGACCTGGTCAGCTCGTCACCAAAAGTGTGTCGGAACTAAGCTTGCGCCGACAGACGCAATTGTGCAGCGTCTCATCGGCCATAAGCAAAAATGCGATTACGGAAATGGATTGCGCCGATTAGTCACTGTCCAGCTCACCATTCAGGTCGCGCTGGCATGAATAAGCCGGTACCTTTGCACGCTTTGCATGCAACCATGTAACTACCGCGTCCACCGCAAGGACCGCAGCCTGATCCTCCGCACCTGTAACACATTCCATGATCGAAATGCCCCATACCGTCACATTCCGTGCAGTGTTCACCCCAAGGAACGAAATTGCGGCCCAGACGGCTCAACAGCTTGAATTGGTCCTTCTCTCCAGGCATGGCCCTCGTCAATTGATGACGCTTTTATATCTTAAACCTGCAGGATTGAATTATCTGCAAAATTTATGGCGCAATTGTCACCAAATTTGTTCATGTCGAGCGGCAAGACTGTCGGCGAAATGCTTCGAGTACTCACCTTCCGATAAATCAGAGGGTCAATTATACAGAATTCAAGATGATACAAACTCTAATTCATGTCTAACTTTCATTTCACGACACCGGAGAGGGCAAACGTGCTTTCGGAAAACCGCCAAAGTACGGCGGCTGTTGCTTCCTCGTGAGAGTCACTGCTCATAGCCGTACATCGGCTTATTTTGCTAGGCTTGAATGCAAAGCCAGATGAGCCTAACATAGAGTGGCATCGAGAGGAAATGAAGGCTTCAACCGGAAACCGGCTTTCCTTGAAAGGGTTGAATTCTACTCTCTGCATCTCAGGACAGCAGGACGACTTCATAGGAAACTAGTAACTGCCTGCTTAGAGAATAACAGTTTGACTAACTGTTACCGGACTGGTAGTGCCTCTTCGGACATCATGGTATTCCTGTACCTTCGCATAAAATCCAGGCGACTCTTCTGCCCAGGCAAAATCTCTGCAACTTTGCTGCAAGCGTGCTAAGGTGCAGCCAGAATCCCTCCACCAGTGCACCTTCCCACCAACGCCAGTTTCATTGTGCAAACCTGACGTGACCCACATGGCTAACGAGGCAACGCACATCTGTCGTACATGCGATTGACTCTAAACATGGATTTCTCACATCCATACACAAGAACCGCCAGTACCGCCATCGTTACCGCCACCGCTACGGAAGCCGTCATTGTGGCTTGCCTTTTTCATGTACCTCACACAGCAGTACGACATTACCGGCGCACACGCCCTACACTCTCTCCCTCTCTCCCGACTGCCAGCCTCATCCAGCCCCCAACTGGCAATAGCAGTGACGTGGGGGATATGTCGACTCGAGGGTCGAAGAAACCACGGAATCCGACATGGATTCCCTTCTCCCGCCTTTTAGCTCCATACCCCCAACTGCAGAACCCAACAGCCAACACGCATCTCTGATCAGTAACGCTTGGCTCCAAAACCAAGGGCCGGCTTCAGAAGAGACCCCTTCAACAAACCCGCCAACCACCTAGGCGTCCTCTTCTTTCTCTCTCCCAATTCCGGTCCGTCTCAAGCCGCTCTCAGGCTCTCAGCACAGCCGATGAAGCAGCTCCCTCCCCTCCCGCACTCGCACGATATTCTCCGCCAATATTCCCGCAAACCTGTCGTACACCTCAGCGGAGATACTGCCCAGATGCGGCAGCGCCAGCACACGCGGGTGGCCGTACAACGGATCACCCCGTGGCGCGGGCTCCACCCAGTGGGTGTCCAGCCCCACACCCGCCAACCGGCCCCCGTGCAGCGCCGCCCACAGCGCGTCGCGCTGAACTACGGAGCCCCGCGCCGCGTTGATGAGGATGGCGTCAGGGCGCATGAGGGCCAGTTCTGTGGGCCCTATGAGGCCCCGTGTGGCGGGTGTGAGGGGGCAGTGCAGTGAGACGATGTGGGAGGAGGAGAGGAGGTGCTCCAGGTCGCGCCGGGGGGAGCGGGAGGTGACACCGAGAACCTGGAGGGGGGGGGACGGGGTGAAGCGGAGGACGGGGGCTAAGACGAACCACAGACCAGTACGGGGGAGGAAGGGGGGACGAGAGGGGGTGGGGGAAGGGCGGGAGGATTAAGGACATGGAGGGTTTGTAAGGTAAGGGAATATGGAGTGCGGGTATGTGCAGTGGAGGACGTGAAGGGCACCTAGAAGGAGGAAGGGTGTGGGGTAGGAGGGATGATGGATGGGATTGGGCAGGAATAATTAACGAAATGAAACCTCTCACATTCCCAGTTTTCCGGGGCACAGGAGACGTCATTTTCCTCCTCCACACGCACCCCTTCACGTCGTTACACACCAACATCACCTACCGCGATCCGGCGGGTCCGAAACCGTACCGGCAGATTTTCCTTCCTACCTCACCCCCCCTTCCCCCAACCCGCACCCCCCACCCTGTTGTGGCCCAACCGACAGCCCCACCTGCATGCCCAGTCCCTGCGCCGCCGCAGCCAGGCACTTGCCGACCTTGCCCATTCCCACAATACCCAGTGTTTTGCCGTACAGCTCCCTGCCCACGGGGCCCCCGATGGGCTCCCGCCGCTCAAACACCTGCCTGGCCTCGTCCACCTTGCGACTCAGCATCAGGATCATCATCAAGCTCACCTCCGCAACACTGCGGGAGTTGTATCCTTGCACAGGGGTAGGGGGGGTAGGGGGGTAGGGTGTACGGTGTACGACAGACAGTATTTGGTGTTAGTGGCGCGCCCGGCCATGTGTGCAATGCCCACAATGCTTTGTTTCCCTCTTACCCCCTCCCTCCCCCCCAGTAAGGAGGAGCTCTCCGCCCCTGGAAGGGCTCATATCTCCTAGTCGGGCATCTTTCTCCCCAACCAACCAAACACTATCACTCCGGGAAACCCGCCGCAATATCCTCCCCGTTCTCCTCCCCGTTCTCCTCTCCCTTTCCTTCCCCTCTCCTCCCGGCTCTCAAGCTTCTTCATTCTCTCCCTTCCCTTCCCTCTCCTTTCCAGTCCCCCTCACAGCACTTGCCCCCCTACCCTACCCTACCCTACCCTACCCTACCCTCGTACCTCCAACCCAGTCCCCGCCTCCTCCCACCCTTCGCTTCCTGCACACTACTCCCCACCCCACCCCACCCATACACATCACCCCCCTCCTTGGCCCCCCCATCCCCCGACCCTCACCGCACCCCCCACACACACACCTGGCGCAATGGTGACCGGCACGCCCCTCGCCTGTGCCGCCTCCACATCGATGTTGTTGTACCCGGCAGCGGGTTGCGCCACCAGGCGAAGGTCCTCGGCCGCCTGGATGTCGCGGGCGGTCACCAGGCCGGTGGTGGGGATCAGCACACGGGCCTTACGGACCTGGCTGGGTGGGGGGTGTAGCCGTAGCCGGAGGCGGGGAGGGAGGCGGGGAGGGAGGCGGGGACGGAGGCGGGGAGGAGGCGGGGAGGGAGGCGGGAGGGAGGCGGGGAGGGAGGCGGGGAAAGGGGAGCGGATGGACGGGTGTGGGTGTGGAGGTGGGTGAGAGGAGTGGGGGGAGAGGGATGGGTACGTGGCCAGAGCGGCGACGGAAAAACTCGTGGCGAAGGGGTGTGTGTGTGA